AAACTAATCGAGTTAGATATAGGGTTATATATATATAAATGATCAGGATGAAGAGACGAGTTGAAATCCGGGTGACTGTCTGTCCGTCCGTCCGTCCGTCCATCCGTCCGTCCGTCTGTCCGTCCGTGCAAGCTCTAACTTGAGTAAAAATTGAGATATCTTTATGAAACTTGGTAGACATGTTTTTTGGTACCGTGAGACGGTTGGTATTGCAGATGGGCGTAATCGGACCACTGCCACGCCCACAAAACGCCATTAATCAAAAACAAATAACTTGCCATAACTAAGCTCCGCAATAAGATACAAGACTGTTATTTGGTACACAGGATCACATTAGGGAGGGGCATCTGCAGTTAAAACTTTTTTTTAAAAAGTGGGCGTGGTCCCGCCTCTAATAGGTTTAATGTGCATATCTCCTAAACCGCTAATGCTATAATAACAAAATTCACTGGAAGCAAATGTTTTTAGCACTTCTATTGACGGTGTGAAAATAGTTGAAATCGGGTGGCAACTCCGCCCACTCCCCATATAACGGTACTGTTGAAAACTACTAAAAGCGCGATAAATCAAGCACTAAACACGCCAGAGACATTAAATCTTATCTCTGAGATGGTATAAGATGACTTTATAGGAACCGCGTTCAAAATTAGACAGTGGGCGTGGCACAGCCCACTTTTAGGTGAAAACCCATATCTTGAGATCTGCTCAACCGATTTCAACCAAATTCGGTGCATAACGTTCTTTTCATGTTTCTATGTCATAGTGCGAAAATGGGCGAAATCGGACTACAACCACGCTTACTTCCCATGTAACACCATTTTCAATTCCATCTGATTCTTTCACTTTCCACTATGCAAATCAGGTAACAATGATTATATCGGGGTAAAACTTTGCGTGAATAATGCAATTAAAGTATGCCACCTTGCGGCCAAAAATTGTATAAATCGAACCAAAACTGTTCAAACCCCTAAGTACTAAATATGTGGACCCCAGTGCCTATAGTTGACCTTCTACCGAAAATATCAGTCAATCCACAAAGAAATCTCAAACGAGTATACCATTTGACTTTGCGAGAGTATAAAATGTTCGTTTACATCCGAACTTAGCCCTTCCTTACTTGTTTTTACTTAAAATTTGTGGCCAAACTCGTAGACATAGACTTGTTAACGAACATAAAGGTTTTGAGGACAGAAAGCTGGGTTACTTTTAGACGAAAAATGCATTTTGGAGCTACTTTATATGAGTGAAGAGTAGAGTATATTATTCTCTTCAAAAGCTAGCGTGTAACAAAGCCTACCAAAGACTTTGAGATGAAACTATCAGGTTTAGAGAGTCTGTGAAGCATTGAGATGCAAAAAAGCTTGCAAAAGCCAAGTTCAAGTGAGTTAAAAAAAGATATTGAAGAGAATTTATGTTAGAAACAAGTTCGATAACAAGAGATCCACCGATATACCAGAGTCAGACACTTCAATAACACAAAGTAATCAATTTCTTGTCCCTGCTTTAGATGCATGAAAGCAAAAAGAGCTTTTTGCATGCCCTAGCACTATCTCTTCAGTAGAAGACTGGCTATAAGAATACTTTAAACCTTGATATTTAGGCGCTAGACTACCCCAGCAGCTTTCTATAAGACTTTTGATAGCGTGATAAACTTGTAGAAGTGTTTCGTTATTAGTACATAGTTAAGTGCCGTTATATGCAAATACATTAAGTATAAAAACAACAACTACAATGCATGGAGAGAGCATATAAACTGCCAGTAATTGTCTAACAGTTATGTTAACGACCTTAATTAGAAAGCAATTATGTACAGTTATAGTGCGTTAAAATTGTATTAAACGCAGGCGGCGAAAAATATTTATATGCATACTTATGTATATGTACCTATGTATGTACATTAGGGTGCTTCAAAAAAAATTTAATTTTGAAACTTTGAGAAATTTAGTAATTTTTGAATGGCTGTAAGTACAAATATTTACTTTTCATGTATTGATAATCATACTATGACTTAGAGTTTCGTAAAGCTTAAAAGCTCAACTTTAAGAACATAAAATAGTTTGTTGTAAACAATTGCGTTAAATACGTATAAGTTCAGTTTTAATAAAAAAAAAAATTTCTCATTTTAATTTTACGAGAAACTAAGATAAAACAAGAAAAAGTATTGACTTTGGCACCGAGGCTTTGTTTTCAGCATAAAAGGCTATTAAAACGTAAGTTTGTACGGCGACTGTGTGATATTGTGCTCCGATCTGAATAATTTGTTTAGAGGTTATAGTGCTGTCTTTGATAATAATATAAGCTAAATTTCGCGAAGATATCTTGTCAGATAAAAAAGTTTTTCATACAAAAACTTGGGTGTGATCAGTCAGTTTGTATGGCAGCTATATGCTATAGTGGTCCGACCTCAACAATTTATTCAAAGATGATAGCGTTGTTTTGGACTATAATCCATACCGAATTCCATAAAGATATCTCGTCAAATGAAAAAGTTTTCCATACAAGCACTTTATTCGGATTGTTCAGTTTGTATGGCAGCTATGTGCTATAGTGGTTCAATATTGGCGGTATTCACAATTTTGCAGTCTTTTGGGGAGAAAAGGTTGCCTGCATAATTTCAGATCGATATCACAAAAACTGAGCGACTACTTCTCTTATATACAGACTGGTTGACAGAGGCACAGGCTAAATCGACGCAACTTGTCACGCTGATCATTTATATATATATATATATATTCTATAGGGTCTCCGACGTTTTCTGCTGGGCGTTACGAACTTTGTGAAAAACTTTACATACCCTGTTCAGGGTATAGAAAATCCTTTTTCAATGTTATTTATATGGCAAGCTAAAATAAAAATAACGGCCCCTTAGATGTAAGCAATAGAGCTCAATGTTTGATGAGCATTTTTTTTTTTACATCAAATAGAAATTTTTGAACGGGTAAGAGTTGAAAAAAACTGTTTTTTTTTTTTTTTTGAAGAACCCTAATGTACTTACCAAATGTACTTACATTAGGGTGGAGCGAAAAAAAATTTTTTTTGCTTAGCCTGCGGGTAAAATCTGTAAATTATAATAAAAGAAAAATTTTGGACAATTTTTTTTAACACCTAGAGACGGCACTCAGTTTTAAAGTAAATTTTCGAGTTAAAATTTTTATTTCGTAAAAAATTTTTGATAAGTGCTCTAGAAACTGTGGAGAGTACTCTTTCTGTTTTTTTCGCTCCACCCTAATGTATATATTTATATACATATAAGAGTGCGCATAAAAATACTGTTGAAGATGTTAGAAAAACATGGTGATTGCAAGCAACGCAGACATAAAAAACGAATAGAAATAGAAATTATATATGTATGCATGTATGTGTGAGTGTGTGCATATGTATATACATACATACTAGTAACGGTGTTTGCACATGTCGTTAATTACTTTACATCACCGTTGACGCATTCATTTTAAATGCGAAAAATTAATTACATACACACATATGTACACACATACATAAATAAAAATGTAAGCAGTTAATAGAAAGAAAGAAGAGAGATACGTAGTATGTATGGTATATACATATGTACATCAGTTTGCGCTTTATTGCCACGTTTACTATTATTTCAATTATATTGACGATAGTGACTCATGTGTACAGTTAACCTATTAAGAATGCACATAAAAAATATTTATGGGTTCAATCAATAACGAAAAAAAAATTAAAGCTATCTAGGGAGCTTCAATCACTTTCTTTACTGTCTAAACAAAATGAAAATGTTAAAAAAAAATAAAATAAATTTACGAAAAAATGCAAAATAAAGAAAATGAAATAAAATTTTGACTATCTATAGGCGCTATTGAACTTTGATAACCGTTTTACGCGGTTTCCATAACAAAAATTATACATAAATACAAAATGCATTTCTCTCAAAAAATATTTGAAAATAGAAAATATATAAGGATTATTTAAGATAACCACTTGCGAATTTCAAAAAATCTATTTTTGAAATATGTATGTATGTACATATGTAAATATAAAAAAAAAAATTTTTTTGTCACGTACGTACACTTGATGCACGAAGAAATAAGATTTTCTTCATAATTTCATTTTTTTAAGCCACTCTGAAATATAAATTTTTTTACAATAAACGACTTTTTTTGTGAGTCAGTCATTTTATCAAAAATCAAAATTTCCTTCCATTATTGCCTGTATTCATATAGATATAATGAAATTTTTTCGTTTTTAGATTTAAGCTAATTTTCAGCTGAAAAATTTTCGTTATCGCCATGCAACTGTTGTCGGGGCTTCTCCTGGAGTTCGGCTGCGGTAGCAAAACAATCTAAATCTTTCAAATTTAATTATTGATTATTAAAGTAAATTAAATTTTACAAATGTGCATTAATTTCAATTATGGTATTTATTTAAAAAATTGTTGCTGCTTTACAAGCTTTAATGAAATTATTAAATAAATTAGTGAAAAGCAGAAAATTTGAATTTTTAATTTTTTTCAAAAATTTTTGCGGTGTAAAAATTATATGAATTGATTTTTTTCGCAAATAAAAATTTGAATCAAAGCATTAATAAATAATATGTAAAATAAATCAAACAAATATATGCTAAAAAATTAACTTTTTTCCTAAATTTTTTGCAAAGCTTAAGATAAAATTTACAACAACAAATAACCGCTAATTCTACTAACTTTCATCATATAACACACTTTGTAGCAACAGTTAAATATAATTTTTTATTTGTTATGCGCATTTTGAAGCAGTGCGCCTAAAAGTATACAAGCTCGATGCCTCGATAAACAGTTATTTTACAATAATTTACAGTAAGAGCAGAGAACGTATGTCATATATCGTATATGATATATATATATCATATATGATATACGTTCTCTGGCTGTTGTAACTTGTTAAATATTTTCGGAAAATGTTGCCTACATTTAGGCATAAGGAAATAATTTTCAGTACATACAGCCAGAGAATGATAATGAACACCATGTTTCACGCAGATTTTCGACTTAAAGCTTAAAAATTTATTTGCGTTCATTTCGTATGAATAAAATATTTACAATACAATATTTAACACAAGCATGCATAAACGTGCGTATGCGCATGCGCATACAATACTCAAGTACAACCATACTACTACAAATTCGCCTTCATGAAAGGCTTCAAATACTGTTGAAATGTTTTATTCACTGGCTCCTTGTTCATGGGATTCTTTTTGGCCGACTCGAAAATGCGTTCGTAAACGCGGCCATCGGCTGCGCCCAAAGCCGAGTCCAACACGCGATCGTGCACATCGAAACTATCAACAAGTGCCACAGCATTTGGACGCAAACGCTTAAGACACTCGGCCAGACGCAGCTCCAATTTGCTGACATCGTCATCGGTTAGGTTAATGAACTGTAATTAGAGATTAGAATTAGCGCAAAGCGCACTGGTGAGCGGCAATATGTGTGACTTACGCGCAACAAATCGCCCATGCGACCCAAACAGGCATCCAGCAAATATAATTCTAAGATCGTTTGGAACACAGCACCCAAGGCGGGTGAAACTTGGCGTATGAGCTGATTTAGCTCGCTGTATGCGGTTTGCGCGAGAAAAGCGCGTCCATGGAGCTGTGTGAAAGGAATGATTATTTTATATTTACACGATTTTAAGCTAGGTATGTTCTAAACTCACATCGGCTGCTTGCGTAAGCTCTATGCCAACCAAATTGGCCGCCGTTTCGGGCTCATGACCTTGTTTGCGGTGCTTCTCCATGCGTTCGTAGGCAATGCGCACTTTGCTGTTAAGATTTTAACGTTAGTATAAACACATAATTACTACAAAAAGTTACAAAAAACCAAACTACATAAACTTACTTCGCCGCCACGTATTGAAAAGCGTGCACTATCTGCTCCAGCGTACCAACGAACGCGCCGAATTCTCTATTCTTTATGTAATCGCTAATATATTGCACCGTCGGCACTATCGGTTCACCACTCAATGCTTGCGCGTACACTTTGACCAGATAGCGCGCGGTCTGCAGCAACATAACGGTATTCTCGCCCTCATACGTGCAAACAGCCGTGGTCATGCCGTATATTGTGGGAAAATTAGAGCAATCCATATAACCATGACCGCCACAAGATAAGCGACACACTTCCACCGCCGCCGCGGAGTCTGCGCTTGTGATGGCTTTCAGGCAACATGACAGCGCATGCATTTCCGGCAAGCGATCCAGGTTGCCCTGCTCCAACTCGCCCGACACATTGTTGAACATGTTCCATATATGCTCGCCGGTTATTTTAAAGATGATCGCTTTTGAAATTTGTGGAAAGACTTTCAATTGTTGCGTTGTATGCTCGATAATTTGTGGCTCGGGCTTGCTGGCAACGAAAAATTTTTTTAAATTTATTATAAAAATACTTATGTATAGCATGTAGCTATAAACACTTGCAACTCACTTGGGCTCTATGGGACTTTGGCGCCGCACCGCCGAATAACGCATGGCAATCGTTGAGGCCTTCGCCAATGTTTGCGATAGATCGCGTATGAGCGCCACGCGTACAAACATCATAGTGCCATAAGTGAGTACGCTATTCTTAGGCGCCACATAAGTACCATCGATTAAAACTTGTTGATTCTTCATCAGCATATTGTTCAAAGGCACACGCACATTCTTTAGACCCAAATAGCCGTTATTGACGGACTTCATGCCGATTTTGGGCCCAATATCGCCAACATCTATGCCCGGCATAGGCATATGTGTTTCCAAATCACGCAGCTGTACTATGAATGGCGCCAGCCCGCGAAACACGCCTTTGGTATAGAGTTGCGCCACGACAATGGCATGATTGGCAGTGTGTCCCACTAAAATGTTTACATGCAATTTAACAAATTTACACTTTTTTACACATAGCATATGCCGCTAGTACTTACTGCCACCCGGCCACCATTTGTAGGCGCTAATTGTGGGCGTATTCAAAACGAATTCTTGTGTGGTGGCATCGTATTCGGCACGCGTTTCCAAACCGCGCAAAAACGTGCCATGCCCCAGCTCAGTCTGTGCATATGTACCGAGTATATTGCAATCCCAAGCTTTACTCAGCCACTCGATTTGTTGTTCAACCGTACCTTGACCCATTATCGTTGGTACGAACATGACGAAATGCAGCATCATCGGATTGCCCTCCTTAATCAGCGCCGAACCAAGTGCGCCGCCAAAAAGTGCACTGTAACAAATAAAATAAAATAAAAATTTGAGTCTTCAATTTGCGCCTTTTACAAGATGTGCGCGCTCACGTATAAGTGTCCACGTCGTCCTCACCATCAGCACGTAGTTCGCGCAGCTTTTTCGCAATAATTACAGCTTTGCGTACGCTGTGCTCGTACAGTTCTTTAGGTGACATATACGAGATGGAAAGCTCATCCTGCAGTTCAGGGTCGTCTAGAAACAGTTTCTCTGAAAATTAGAAATAAAAATTAAATTAAGCTAAAAAAAACTAATATTTGAAAAAGTACGTGAGGTCAAGGTACACTATGTATAATTGCATATCTAGCTGCACATTGAACTAAGATATAGCAAGATTATTTATTTTTTTAACCTATACATTAGCTTACTTACTTAATTGCACGTAATCAATATTACCATCTAATCGCTTAATACAAATCGCTTGACTCAACAATTGCTATGGCGGAATAAGGCTACTTTTTGCAACAAAAAAAGTGTGAACAAAACCAACTCTCTAAGTTTAAAAAATTAATTATAATTTTAAAAGTAATTATACATATTTGCATTTTAAACGTCTCGATGCGCATAAAAGTATCACAAACCCTTTTTCATTATTATTATTTTTTTTTTATTTTTTTATATTATTTCAAGCTTTAAAACAGTTACCTAATTAAGTAGCCACATTTTCGCGCTTACAATAACAAACGCTTAGTTAGCATTTTGCTAACGGTTAACTCTTCACTAACCTATACGCTATTCTTTATAGGTACAAGGTACATGTTCAAATAACATTCACTTCTGATTAAGTACACGCTGCTTTTAACGCTAAATATGAATAAGCTTTAACACATACATATGTATGTATGTATGTATGTATATAAAAGTGAGTAATTATCGCAGTTTTATTTATTTGCATGTTAAATTTTGCAAGCGGAGCAGTTCAACTTGTTTATATGCATACATACTTATATAACATTTTGAAGATCTAAACCAACTTACTGTTACGTATACGCTAATGTGTACAAACAATTGCCAATTCATGTTTGCATACAATATACATATGTACATACGTATGTGTATGTACTTTTATTAAATCTGCTGCTAATGCGGGTCAGCGCGCTAGTCGGCGTTTAGACAAGGTAAACACTTCCGACATACAGTATTTGCAAGCGCAAACAACAAATGCTGTTAGATCAAACAGCACAGAAAACATATTCACTCGCGTATGTACTCACCAAATACATACATGTATATAGAGTTAGCCATATATTTGCACACGCGAACATGCTGACATGAAGTAGCAGCGCACACATTTAATTTTTATTACTTTTTTTTCAATTTGAAGTAATACTCACCTAGTTTCTTTTTCGCCTCATACTTCTGCTTGCCACCTAGCCACCAATAGGTGAATTCTTGCGTGTTAAAAGTAGCTTTTTGACGTTCACGTTGCAAATCTGGATTTACTGCATTGGACGGCATTTTCCTCTTCTTTTATTTTTCTTCGGCCACTAGATTTCCACAAAAACTCAATTTATAGCGCTGCTTTGAAGCTTACTGCCAATTAAAATCTTTGAACCAACAACGTTGGTTGCCGCAACAATACTGACTACCACTACTGGCTTGGCGCCGCAGTTATTCATTCAATACGAAAAGTTGTTTGTTAGTAGCTGCGCTAGGAAAAATAGAAATATATGTTTAACTTTTATTTATTTTTATATACATACATATGTATGTGTTTATGCCCCCTAATCAAGTAGGAGCGCACCAATAGCACGTTAAATGCTTAATCTCACTAAGTGTAGATTATCTGTATATACTTGAAACTAAATCAACAGATATTTATAAATGTTTTATAATATATGTATTTATTAATTCATTGAACTTTGTACTACGATTACTAATAAACAATAGATCTCCATGACGAAACATACAACTCACACGCAGCTACGTTTCAACTAAGCAGCTCCCGTAGCTATGTAGTTGAAAAATATACAGTATTTATTACACCGCTACATCAAAAATAACAATAAAAAAAATTTTTTTTCGTTTTTTTCAACGTCGCATTTAGCACTTATTAATTGTTTATTTGTTTTATAAATGTATGTGCCAGAACAGCTGACCTTATCAGCAGAAGCGCCCTATATGAAAACGAGTTCACTTCACCATTTAACATAAATTCACCACTTACTGCAACAACAAATAATCATTATTGCGTTTATTTGTCAAAGAAACCATTTGCAAACTGGTTTTAACCATTAAATATAAACAAAAAATCACTACAATTAAATTAACATATTTTATCACCACGCACTTCCGTTCTGATTGGAAAAAGTTTTCTACTAAGAATGACGAATTGTTTATTTACGCGTTAATAAGTTTGTTTCTTAACTGCTAACTATAAAAATTACTAGCTAGCAAAGTTTCTGCTAGAAAAGCCTTGTTTCTTAACCCAAAAACTAGCTAGACCTAGCAGGAGAGCGCACAAGTTGAGAGCGTAAAAAGCTGAGAGAACTGCTAGTTTCTGTTGGTGAAATTACTACTAGCAGAAAATAGCTACTGTCATATGAAGAAACAGCTGTTTATAGCATTTGTTTGACGCATTTGCTTTGATTTTGTTTATTTCCAATGTTTTGTATTGTGCAAGTAAACATTTTATTGATTAATTTTCAAGTGTTGATATGAAGTGATTGTGAAAAACAACAATTTGATATTTTCTAGCTAGTTTCCGTTTCTTTACTTTTTCGTTATTTCGATCTTTGTGAGTGTAACTTATAATCTTCTTCTTTGTGATAGCTAGCAGCTACTAGCATGCTACTAGCAGAGAATGTATATCATATATGAATCTCTTTTACTACAAAGCTACGCTTTTACGCTTCTGCGCACTTTTGACAATAAGCTGTCAGAATAAACGAACAAAGCAAAACGTGTAGAAATGTGTGAGAGTAAATTGGGCTGCCATCCGATAGATGTCCACAGCATCAAAATTTAAATTTTGTTATGTTTTCTTTTTAACAATAATTGTTTTTTGAATAAATGGAAAGTTAAAATTAATAATAAAAGGTTTTTATTAATATATATTAAATTAGATTATATATTCGTACTATTAAGTTGGTTCTCGGCTAACGATGAGTTGTAAACAAGCTCATAGTATCCTAATGCCTAACACCCTATTAAAAAGTAGCTTTGTATACAAATTATAAACAAATTAGCACTCATATAAATCAGCAAATACACGCTCTACACTTTAGTTGTGCTTCGGACAAAATAATTTTAAAAATGGAGAATCGGGAACCAACGCGCTATTAACACAATGCTGTCAGAATAAGCGAATATGGTAAAACGAATATGATTATTTCGACAGGAAGCATAGTTGTGCTGCCAGCCGGTAGATGTCCGCAGTACGAAAATTAAGTATTTTATATAGATTATATTGCAAAAATAATGAATTAAAAGTATTTAATTTTGGATATAATAAACAGAAACGCAGAATGTAGTTCATATTCAAAGTTTCTAGCCGTTTTTCTACCACGCATGTACAGTTAAAAGGGCAAATTAATGCATATGCAAACAAACCTAGCTTAGAATATTGACAGCTGTTTGCGTTTGACAATTTTACTCTTCATAATTCAAATTCGTAAAGTATATTTGAAAAAATGTTAAACAGCAGTTCTAACACTTTATTTTAATAAGTAAAACGTTGCAAAATCTTAACATTTTCAACAGCTAAATTTTATTGCTGAGTTTGGTAGTAATGTTGTTATAGTAAGAGCCTTTAAACTTACATCAATACTTTAGGGGGAAGGCTGCTGAGATTATGGTGGTTGGCCGGATATGTAACTAGGACTTTCCGCTAATTCGGCCCAACTATTGTGGGAAGGTATGGAATGCAAGGTTTCCGCTAGCTTATGCATTCGACAGGCGTGATGTATAAGCAAAACATATAGTGTGTGAGGCGAAGTAGTGCTACAGTAAACATATTAAGTTATTTTCAGAACACTGAGTGTTACCAAATAAATTTTAGATATACATATGTACATGTTTCATAGCACTACATAAATAAGAAATGTCTTGTAGGTAAGGTATTTTATTAAATTTACTAAAATATTTTGTTTATAGGCTCTTTCGACGCGCGTCATACTTATGTATAAAAGTTTATGAGTAACAGCAAGTTCCTGCGAAATATAAACATTATTACAGACTTACATAAGTACATATATGCATACTTAGACAGTTTGTACTTGCATTTATCGTATAGTAGTACGTAATTCTTGTATTTGTTGCTTAATTTAGATCATTTATTTTTACTACTGCAATTTTTCATTTTTATTCCACGTCGTACATTAATCATAGCTTTTGTGGTGATTAAGTAGACAGACAACAATCAAGATAAAAATAACGAGAAAATAAAAACGTTTACCTATCATCCATGTATACGTATATGTAAGCGTGTATGTCTGTATGTAAACTCGGAGGCACATTGGCACACAGCTTACAACGTCGATTTCGAGACATGAGAGATGAGTTCGTTGCTTTGATTAACAGGAGTAAATGAAAAATGCTTACAATAAGAACAATTGTCGTACAACAACAAAAGCTATAATTACAAAACAACGTGGTTGCATGTACATTTATCTAAAGATATCTGTTTAAGCGCCTCAGTGGACACTACTCAGCATATATACGCACTATATATAAGTACTATAACACAGACGCACGCATGCTATTAAAACTCACAGAAAAATGTGTTCGACGCTAAGCGTCATCATCGTATTGGAGCACATGGAGAATTGCATATTTCAGCCACTATATTTCACTGCTTAAGACGAACATACATTTTGTATGTAATCAAGTCCAACGGCGTACTTACTAATTTACACATACAAATAAAGAATTACAGCAATGTATACCATATATGCATGCATACATACATACAAATAGTGTAGCGTAGTGTGTCACAGAAATTCCTCGAAAGAATTCAGAAATGTGAATTGAAATTGCAATCTGGTACTTCCACTTCATTAGTGCGACTGAGCAATGACCAACAGCCCCTAGTTGCCGCGAACGTCCTGTCCTTCAGTCCAAAACAGCAATAACACGTATCTCACACCTCGTTAAATGACAGGCAGGCAAATGTTGAAGCAATTCACCACTCCCCATCAACCCCAACGGATAGTGTGATGTGCTGATGACGGACACTAATCTTTCAGACACGTGAGGTGGTATGTAGGGGCGTTAGATTACAATGGAACGATTGGTACAGTGAGACAAAACTGATTAAAAAAAAATATTTAATGAAATAAATATTTTTTAAAATTTTTTTAAAGAAATATTATTGAAAAATAAATATTTTTAAAAAATGTAATGAAGTGTGTTAAATTTTACTGCTGTGAGGAGGAATAAATTTAAAAATTGTGAAATAAGTGAATATATATTAGCAGGGACAGGAACGTCGTAAGAGGCCTGCGCTCAACTCACACGACGTTTTACGCACACTCTGCTCTAAGAAACCTTAACTCACTCATAATTTTTAGCTGTTTTCTCTACGACTACTACTGCCGGGTTAATGAGTGAAAAGAATTTATATCTTACAACAACCACAAACCAAAAGAAAAATCAACAAAACAGGCAAAACACGAACAGTCCTTAAAACTATATAAAACCGATTTATGCGTTCATATGGACATTTGGTGATAATTAACTGTAACATTTTTTTCGCCAGCGATAGATCATTTACCCAACTTGGCTAAAAGCCACGCACAGCGCACAGTCGTGTGAAATGTCGCAACCTTGTGAAGCCCTTTGATTCAGTGTATGAAGTTATGAGCTTTCCCAATTCAATTTATCACTCATAAAAATTAAAATTAATTTAAAAATTTAGTAAACAATGTTTTTTTTTTAATATTATAAATTTCCGCAATACTCACCACTGTGTCATCAACGCTTTGTTCTTATATACGCCACTTGATAGGTTCGTTCGTGCGTCTAACGGACGCCTAATTAACTTTATGGACCAACATAGTCTTTGTATTAGTAGCGGCAACAGTGACGCGGCAGCGAACAACGGCACTACAGCTGCACCTACATATACACACATACATATATATACACCTTAAACTCACCACTAGCCGCTGAAAATGCCGAAACCTAGTGCTTCAACTGCTGTCAGTGCAACCTTCAGGGATTAAAGTGTTTGCAATGCTTCGTCGAACAAACGATTCATGGCAGCTGACAGCGTATAACGGTGCGCTAAGCAGCGCTGCGCTACGCCACTTTACAAGCAACCCCTCCGTTAAACGTCTCACCAAAACCAGTCAACCCAAGTGGGCAGTAAATTGAGGCGACACGCGTCGCAGCAAATGTCAATTGTCTTCTAAAATAATGTCGCTTAGTTTATAGGTGTTTGTGTATGTGTGTGTGTGTGTGTATGAGTAAAAGCGCGCATGCATGTGTTTGTGCGTTCAAGTTTGCCGCTTGCGCCTTGTAGGTGTTGGTGAGTGGCGGTCAGCGCTATAGAGTTGCTTCATCGCTTCATTGAGTTGTGTTTTGTTTTGTGCGGTGCGCCAACGGCAGCGGTTGTCCCCATAACAACGTGCCCGCGTAAAAGTGAAAAACAAGCAAGCGTACTAAACATATTTGAAATTTAACAAATTAAGTGAAAATCCAATGAAAAAAGTACTACGCTTGTGGTAGAACGTGCGTTGCGTGTAGTAACGGTTGTTTTGATGTTAAGCATTCAAGCTTATTAAATACCGCCCACGGCACGCGCTTGTGGTTGTGGCCGGACATTGCTAAATGTTTTCTTTATAGATCTCTTTGTGCAAGCGAAAAAAAGAAAATTGTGAAAATTAACTTTTATAAAGTTATATAAAGGAAATCATAAGCGAAATATAAAAGTGTGTTGAAGGTGAGCAATCTAAATTTTTAAATGAAAAATTATAATTAGTTGACACCAGTTTGCAAACGTTTTTGTTATGTATAGCTTTTAGAACCAATCTCGCAGGCCTCGCAATAGAGAACTAACAAAATCTTATCTAGTTCTAATTAACAAGACCGAATGCCCGCCAGTCTTCGTTGAAGCTTGTGGAAGCCCGAAAGCTCGTAATCTCGTGTTAAGTTATGAATGTAACGGAAGCTATAGACTAATTTGTGTTCCACAATGTAATATCTAGCAGTTAGTCGAGAATTTTATGTGTGCCTCTCAATTCGGGCCACAGTTGGCGCTGCAGCGGTTGTACCCATAATTTTCTGACAATGTAGCCGACTTCTGAAAACCACTACGCTGACCTGATCGTTCGAAGCTTTCGTGAGTTCTCAACTTCTCTATACTCAGTCGGTGCTTTAATACTAATGACTATCATCTTAAGTGCAACAAGTGTACACAAAAACTGGTTAAAAGCTGTATGGTAGGATTCCGTAAGCTCATTAGTGAACTTGGCTGTCTTTGAGCTAAGAAAGGACTTGTCGAAACCTTGAGTTCTTATGAAATTAGTGAAGCTAAAATCTGCGAGCTTTCTCATACGCTGAATATACAATAACTTAGCTTTTTTTTCGTTCTACCTCCAGCTTGTAGTGTCTCATTAAATGGTATATATATATGAAGATCAGAAAGTTTCCGGAAATTGTTGGCCCACAATTTCGGCCATTTACGGCGCATGTTTTCGCGCAAACACCTCAATACGCTCAAATAATACTCTTTATTGACCGTCTGTTCCAAAAATCCCGAAACTTTTCTGTCTTGAAATGCAACATGTTGCTACAGAGTATAATGAACGATTTTAAGACCAAACACTCGTTCCATACCAACGATCAACCACCGTATTCACTGGATTTGGTCCCATGCGACTTTTTTTTTTGTTTCCAAAACTCAAGTTACCACTCCGTTGCACCCGTTCCGACTCGACTGAGGCCGTCAAAGAAAATTAGCAGAGGGAACTGTAAGCGATCACGGACAGCGCCTACAAGTCGTGTTTCGATGATTGGAAAAGGAGGTGGCATGTGTGTATCGCTTCAGAAGGAGCATATTTTGAAGGCGACAAAATAAATATTGATGAAGGTTAAAACTTTTTCGTTTTATCAACAATTTCCAGCAACTTTCTGGACTTAATATATATGCTTAAAGTGAAATACGATTTGTGTAAGCTAAACGTAATGCGAGCCGTAATTTTAGCAAGCAAACCCGCCACCTACACCTACACCTACTAGCCAACTACGAACTCACATAAGAGGCGCATGCCCTCCACTTGTATTTTGCACGGTCGCTTGGCAAACACATACAACGTTCGTCGCTCGAATGCGCAGTGACATTTACGGACGCAACGCAAAAACGGCACCCGATGTGCCATCATTATCAACAATGATGGAAGTGCCATCAATGCGACCAAGCGATTTGTAAGTCAATGAGTGGCATGCGCAGGACGCGGGGCAGGAAATGAAACCACTAATAGCGATAGTGAAGGTGTCTGTTGGCGATACGTTTTGTTGTATTGTGTGTGGACTAGAATTTTCTCACTAAATTGGGCACAAGAAGACGAATGAATTGTGCCGGTTGCGGTGGTAGCGAGTGGAGAGTGGAATGTAACAAAGTAATTGTTTGGGTTTGGGAAAGCTAACGTAAAGATGTATTTATGTGCTTTTAAAACGGGACATGAGCAACGGAAATCACTTAGCACCTAATGTGGCCACAAACGTTCCAGTCGATAAATTTTGCGGCGTCCTTTTGTTTCGCTTGATATATTTACGGTTGATTATTATGATTATCATTTATTTTGAGGGCGACACATTAAAATACCGCACAAGTAGCGAAATCACTCAGCCGCATTGTACAGTTAATAAACACGCGTATGTGTGTGTAGGTGTAAGGTCGCTTTACCTGGCACGTGGGTGGATTAGGGACGACATGCGCGCCCTTGACTGCCAAGGCAAACAGCGCACGTATGGGCGGCGGGTCGGCTAGTCGACATTTATGCATAAAAATAGCTGCGGAACTTTCGACGAAAGTACGTGGCTTTGCAACTGCCGTTTTAATATCTTAGCTTTTTCAAACTTTTAAACTAACTGTATACTTTCTGCTTCTCCTTCCAGCAATATGGCTCGCGTAATACTTGCAACACAAACGCATACTAACTCCAAAATTCTTAGCGCGCTGCTAATCGCATTTCTTCAGCTCGCTGTCTGCTCTAGACTAGGCGTCGCGTCTATCGCAACAGTCGCACCGGCACCTGCAGCCACAGCTGCACAACTATCCAGTAGTATTCCGCAAACCGAAACTAATGCCAATACGATTTCATCATCGGCCGTGCATGAGCATGGCGCGTCCACAACTAGTACGCCACTACAGGCGCCTGCCGTCTCTACCAGCGAACCCGTGTTTGGCGCCGAAACTGCTTTGGAATCTGTTAGCACAGCTGCACCGTTCACGACCACCACTACTAGCACTACAACAACTACTGCTACGACAGCGCCCGAACACGATATCATCGGCTCGCCTGGTCCGGACAAGCGTGAGCAGGACGCCATCTTGAAGGCGCTGGATTGGTTAAAGGAGAAACGTGCTGCCGATTATGGTTGGGGCAATGACACGCATGTCGTTATTTTAGCTAAAGAGTTGTCCGGCGCACGCGATCCCACTGACGCCGATGGCCATTTGCAGATCATACAAGAGCTGGAGGACACATTGTCCGTCAAGGAGATGGAAATCGAAATATTGGCCATGCTGGATCGTCATCATATGCTGCCGAAACCGTTGAATTTGGAGAAACTGGCGCGCTACGTGCTGGCACTCGGCTCGCTGTGCAAGGATCCGAAACATTTTCATGGTCACGACTTAGTTGCCACGTTGCAGCATCATGAGCCGGCGCAAGATAATGAGTTCGCCTTAGCCACGCTGTCGGCGTGTAGTGCGGCTGCGCATGTGCGCAAGCGCCAAATACGCCGACTGCTGGATATAGCGAGCGGCGTAACGGATCAGGGTGTGGACACCATTGCCATGGTTATATTGGCGTTGCGCTGCATTGTGACCGATCATCGGCATCGCCATCTACAGCACTTTGTACGACGGCCTGCCAGAGGATTGGCCAGTTTGCAGGATCCACGCGGCGGCTTCGGTTCGCTGCGCAGCACTGCATTGGCTATGCAGGCATTGCAAGATCTCGAACACGATCCGGCCGGCTCGTGGAACCGTACTGCCGCATCGAAGTGGATATTGAGTCGGCAACGCGAGGATGGCGGTTGGACTGAGGAGCCATTGCACGACGGACAGGATCCCGGCATCGGCGTGGGTTTGACTGCGGACATTATATTGGCGTTGGGTTGGAAGGGACTGGGCGCGGTGCGTGCACTACAGTGCGATCATGTGATACGCGAGAACAGCGATCCAACTTCAGGTAAGTTAGCAAGATTTCAAAACGCTTTAAAGCTTAATATTAAATACACTCCCCAAAAAAACACATGAATGTACCAAAACCCAAAAAAAAATCACACAATTCAACTTTACTGAAACACAACAACAAAAATAAACGAAACAAAACAATTGAAAAAATTCGCAAAAACCACAAAACTCAATTAGAAAATGGCGAACCAAAACTAGCTGTACCCTATGGACTTACATCATCGGCCGAGGAGTCGGACTCGAAGAATGTCTCCTACACATACACATTGTGGGTGGGCTCGAATGTCACGGAAACGTTCTCACTCTCGCTGGTCTCACCAAAGAACACCAGTTTCTTCAAGGCCATGACACAGGCTGCCGATTTAGATCCACGGTAACCAGCTAAGCAAATATTTAAGATTTTAAGTTTATTAATTGTGTTACACTTTTCTGCAGATTTACTTTCGAGGCGCGGGAATGGCCTAACGGGCACTATGTACATACACTAGCCGGCAAAAAGGAGGAACCCAGGGGGTAAGCATTTGAGCATTGCGGTTTCTACAGTCGCTTCTCACAATTATATTTCTTCAAACTAGGTACAACTACTGGCTATTGTATCGTTTGCCTGAGCTACCCGATCCTAATAATGCACCAGGCAATCAGCTGATTGCACCAGTCGGTAAGTGAAAACCCTACAAATCGAAGTACTGCGCTGAGGTTTGCATACGGAGTTTGATATTCAAAACATCTGCTAGAAGATTCAAAAATTTTTAAGCAAGCTCTTTCTGTTGATATTAAGTCAATCAGCTCAGATTTAAAAATTATGCTATGAAGACCAAAAGATAGCTATCGAGTGCGAATTCGTCTTTGTTCGATTCTTGTAGAACTCGGCACTTAAAATACAATAAGCCTAAAATCTTTGATTTGGGTCTTGGAACCAAATCTTTAACTGAGTCTTACCAAAAACGTAGAACCAAACTTCTTCCATTTCTACGTTGAGGTCAACGTAAACGGAAGGAGTCCAGATCTCTATGCGACTATGAACTGTCAGTCCGACAGCATTACTGAATTTTTGTTTGATGTTTTTTGCTGAAACAACAATTAGAGGATTTGCGATCCAGAGCTGTTCCTTCTGGGTTTCGCCCATTCCATTTTAAGGAAATGAACTTTTTTCTGCAACAGAATTTTCTGAGTTGCTTTCGTCAATATCAACCCTGCATACACTTGCTTGAAACAAAATCCTTTCCGGGGCAACTATAAGTACTATATCCAGATCGATCATGTTATTCCCACAATGAGGCCCTAGATATCATTCTATGTAGCCATCAGAGAGTGTCAAGACCTTTGTCAACCCATGCATGGGGCCATAAGAGTCCAACTACTAAGAAATTCAGATGAAGGATTCGGAAAATATTTACCGTTTTGATATACCCTAACCAAACCTATTCATCTAAGAAGCTTTTTTGCGTTCCAACCCTGTCGGAAGAGTTTTGTTTGCATCACCTAAAACAAATCGAGTTAGATATAGGGTGATATACCTATATATAAATGATCAGGATGATGAGACGAGTTGCAATCCGAGTGACTGTTTGTCTGTCTGTCGGTCCGTCCGACCTCCATCCATCTGTCCGCCTGTGCAAGCGATAACTTCTGTAAAAATTATATCTTTCAAACTTGGTACACGTGTGCCTTGGCAAAAAAGTGAGTGAGTGAGTGAGTGAAGTGTTACACCCCGAACTTAGTCCTTGCTAACTTCTTTTTTTCTTCTTATGTTCGAAAACCATTTTTTTTGTACTTTTGAAAACCATTGCAATGTTTATAAATATTTTCCTTAATTTTCAGGCGTCGACGAGCTTATGGTCGAGGATGGTGAGCACTACTTATACTGGTATAAAAAGCTCTAAGCTCTCTCAGCGTACATATAAACAGCAATAGAAGTAAAAATTAAGCGAAAGTGGTGGGTGCAAGAGAAAGAACAAAACAAACTACATATACATATACATATATATAAATAATAATGCGAATATAATATATACATCCATACAATATACTGCTATGAATAACAGGAGGCCATAAATAATAAAGTAAATGCGAATACAAATATACACAACAAATATATACATGCATAAAACTACATTAACGGTAAATACAGTGTAAGAGAACGATATAAAAATTTAGAAAATGAAAAACAAAAATAACAAAAAAAAACTAAAAGCGAATTAATCAAACAAAAGTTCCGCGCTTTAGCCAAGGCAAATGCAAAATGAAAAATACATAAAATATTAAAAAAAAAAAAAAGAATTATAAAATATAAAAATAAATATTTTTCGAAATTTGAAATTAATAAATACTAAGAAATGCTAATTATAGTTGAATATACATATATAAAAAAGCATAATATAAGCATGAACAAAACAAGATTATAAAATAATAAAAAAAACAACAGCAAAGAAATGCTATTAATAAAGCTGACAAGCAAAATATTGATAAACGTGATAAGGCATGTGCAGGATAACAATAAAAGCAGGTGAACAAAGGTCACCAATACATGCACATATTGTTATACAGTCATACAGCTTGGCAAAGGCACAGGCATACATAAATATACACCAACTTTAATACACATATGGTACATATATATGCATACATACATATGTACATAAACATATACATATTTATGCATACATATACACACATGCGCATCAATAGTAGAGAGGGGAATTAATTCATATTAAAAATAGCGACAGGCAAAATCGAACGTCCATATTAAATAAAACGTGTCAGTCTACATACACACATACATGCATACAGATATGTAGGATACTAAAGCTTATAGGTATGGTAATAGTGAATCAAATATATACACATGCAGTTATTAACGGTATATATGAGTATGCAAATGTATTTCTGTATAGTGCAGGACTTCAAATATGCATGCATACGCATATGTACATATGTATAAGGGTATAATTATGCTTTTTTGAAAAGACGTACGGTAATAGAAAAATAATTTGAAGTAAAAAACTTTATGAAAGTGAAATGTTACATTCAAACCAATATAAAAAATTAAAATTAAATTTTTCCAGAAATATTAGAAAAATTTTTAATTAAAAAATTTTTTTCATTAAATAAATTTTTTTCATTTAAAATTTTAATTTAAAATTTTTAAAAAACTCAAATGCTTAATTTATATTAATACAAAAAAAAAATTCCAAAAAAAAAATCCAAAAAATTTTTATTCAGAATTTTTGATATTTTGTTTATTTGATTTAAATTTTTTTAGAGAAGAAATAAACAAACGTCTAATACTTTTTATTGTTGCAAAATCTGTGTTCATATTTTTTTACTTTAAGGTAAAAAAATTGTAATAAAAATTCTTTATATTATTTTTATTTTAAAGTAAAAAATTGTAAAAAAAATTACTTGATATTCATTTTTTTATTATATCTTATTGCCAAAAATTTTATAAACTCTTATCACAAAAAGCAGTAAACCAACATGCATGCATACATAAACAAAAAAATAAATAAAAAGAGCTGACAGAACCTACAAGCTATATAAGCAAAGTAAAAAGAAAATTTTTTTTGAAAACAAACGTTAAGTTATGGAAAGATAAATGAAATATAAAAATATATTTCATATATAAAAAAAAAATATGCTTAAAAAAGTATTTAAAATTTACTTTATTGAAAAGTAAGAAAAATATAAACATTACTTTAAATAAAAAACAAAAAATTTGCTTTAAAAATAATAAAGATTTATTTAAAATTAAAAACATAAAAAAATAAAAAGTATGCTTTCAAATAAAAAATAATAATAAATATTTATTAAAAAATATTAAAAAATGCTTTAAACAAATAAATAAACATTTATTAAAATAAATTTATGCACATGCTATAAAATATGTGTATACAATTATATTTAATAAAAAATATAACAAATTAAGATACAAATACCCAGCAGCGATAAGCAATTAAATGATAAAAAATGGCAGCATAAGCAACAGCAAACAAAACATTTTTTAACAAACAAATAATAACTAGCTAAATATTTAAGCATTACAATATTAAGCTTAGCAGTGCATAGAAATTATTATTATTTTTTTTAATGTATGTGGTTTAAAAAAAATAAAAATTTGGCAATTTTAGCAAAAAAAATAATTGTTATTATTATTTAAATTTATAAATAGGTAAATAAAAAATTTATTTTTTTTTAACAAAATTTCCAAATTTTAATTTTTTTTATAAGATCTTTTGCTTTGTGTTTCAGTTTCACACAAAATTTTGAAATAAAAAATTAAAATTTTGTTTACACTTTTTAAACAAATTTTAAAAATTTAAATTTTTTAAATTTATTTTATAATATAATATTTTTTGCATTGTGTTTTAGTTTTACACGAACAATTTTTTTATTAAAAAATTTTAATTTTTTATATACTTTTTAAACATTTATCATAACTTTAATGTTAAAAAATTTTTTCTTTATAAAATTTTTTGCCTTTGTTTCAGTTTTACACGGAAAATTAAAAAAAAATTAATGCTGCAAAAATGCAAAATATTTAAATAAAATAATATTAAGTTTTTTTACGAAAACTGAAAATTTACACAGCGTGTTTATTTCGAAACTTTTGATTTGAATTTATTTTGTTTTCGAATAATTTGATTTAAAATAATGCATCAAAAAATTTGAAAAAAAATAATTAATAAAATATTGTATGCATAGTTTTTTGGTTTAAATTAAAATCTTTTAAATATTTGTATTGTTTTTTTTAATAATTCATGGCTTAATTTTTTTTAATAAATTTTTCTTTGACCTTCAAAATTTCTTTAAATTTGTTAAAATTAAAATAAAAACATTAACAATTGAGCAATTTCTAAATTTTTTAGTTATGAAAAAATCAAAAAGTTTCATAATTTTTTTTATAAAAAATTTTAATTGAAATAAAAATTAATAAATATTGAACAAACAAAAAAAAAATAAAACTTTTTAATTAAAATAAACATAAAAAAAATTTGTGAGAACAAAAATATTAATTTAAATTTTTTTCCAAACCAAAAAATTATTTTTTAACTTAAAAATTTTATTTACTTAAATTAATTACTTAAATTTTTTTAATTTCTAATATAATTTAAAATTTTCTATTTATTTTAAATTAGCTTTTAAACACTCTTAAAATATATTTCGGCTTACTTATTTTACTTTACAGTGTACAATTCTTTGTTTGTTTTATTTTTAGCAAAAATTTAAAATTCACTGAAATTAAAAATACATACGAATGCCCATACTTATAACTTTCTTAGATCTATAAAAAAGCACATACTCACCCCATTATACAAAGAAAGTCGCATACATATAGAAAAAATAAGTTAAACTCTATATACAGAGTTGTATTTACGTAATCCCGTTTTAGGCCATAAACTATTAACTCAATTAAATTACCTAAACGCTCTAAATAAATATGTAACTAGTATGAATATTTGCAGTAGTAGTTTCTAAAACCACAAACACATACACAAACATGCAGTGAACTATACGAACCCAGTACGAAAATGCAACGCTGTAACCCAAACCGCCATATACATATACCTATGTAGGCTCGTAGTAGTTTTCTCTGCTCGCTCTAAACTTTACTCTTGACTTCATAAAGCTATGTATTCGTGTGTATCAACTATTCTATTTATGCTTAACATATGTCTATGTAACTAAGCAGACGATTAATAATCGATAAATAATATTTAAATATTTAAAAATCATAAATTAATAAATAAATACGGCAATGATAAAAGGCGTAATTATACTTTTACCTTGAAACCAACAAAGGCTTAAATTTTTATTTTTTTCTATTTTAAAATTTTTATAAAAACAAAAAAAATATTAAAATTTTTTATCAAAAATTTTGAAAATTTATTTCATATATTTGTTAAATATTTTATTTTTTTAAAGAAAAAAAAATCATTAATACTTTAAAGCTTCTTGAAAGCAATCGATAGTTATCGATAAATTAACGAAAAGTTAACCTAAAAATTTGCAAAAACAATTTATTTGTTATTTATTGTTATTTCAAAATGCAGTTAATTTTGCTGGAAATACAAACTTTACAAAAAATTACATATACATATGTAATGTTTTACAAATAAATTTTGTTACAAAAACAACTGATTGAAGGAAAAAAGCTTTTACCACGCTCAGTTCAAGTATACAAGTATATAAAACTGCAAACCAAAACAAAAATCAAAATAAGCTAATTTATAAAGAAACAAAAATAATAAAAACAAAAATATTAATAAAAAAAACATTTATAAAAAAAAATAACTTTATAAAACAAATATTTATTTAAATTTATATAACAATATTTTTTTCTTGAATTTAAACATATAAAAATATTTTTTTCTTGAATTTAAATATATAAAATTATTTTTTTTCTTGAATTTAGAAATAAAAAAAAAAATTTTCTTGAATTTTTTAAAAATTATTTACAAACAAAATATTTTTCGTTTTTTTTTTTTGCAAAATTATTCAAATTTTTTCTTAGCATTTTGCAAGCAGTAAAATATACATTAAGCTATGTAAGAGAAAGTAATATTCGCTGCTAAATAAACTATATTTAAATAAATAATATTAGAGAAAATAAAAATATATTTACGTTTAAGCGAATATAGCAAGTGTTTTCTTTTAAAAACATATTAAAATTATGAAGACCAAACGAAAAAAGTAAGTAGAAAATCTATTAGTGGGGAAGCATATTTTAAAATGAACAAAATTTCATTTTATATCAGATTTCAGCAGATTTGCCACTTTATCGATGTTTCCTTAGTTATTTTTACACTGCAGCACACAACAATTTTATACCACTTTGAACGTAAATATATTATTTGATTGCCAAAAACAAACTTAAAAAAATTATGCCAGTTTTTGGCATAAACTTTTGCTAGTTGTGTGCAAGTTTTTAGTTATTTAGCTTCAATTAAGTATATCCCCTTTGTTACTCTGACTTGAATACATTTTATACCAGTTTTTATAAAATAATTTTTTTCTATTATTTAGACCAGTTTTTCTTTTAGCTATGTATGTACATAGTATATATTAAAATATTAGAAACTATCCTTGTGGGCAATGGGTACATAAAGTTTCAGATAGAACAATTTGTGTTATAGTGTTTACTTACAAAGATTGTTAGACCAGTTTTCTCGAATGTGAGTATTTTTAAAATTATTCACTTCTACAAAAAGTGGGCTTTCATCTGGAAATTTTTAAATACTAAGCTTAAATTTCGTAAAAATTTACTTTATATTAAACGCGTTATTAAGCTATTCCATATATATTATATATATTTATAAATTAAAAATTTTGACCAGCTTTTTAAAAATTGTTTTTCTTTAATATTTATTTTTATCACCAATTCTAAATTTAAATTAATAAATAAAAATATATACTGTATTTACCAAGCCATTTAAAAAAATTTTATAACTAAACTAAAATTTTCGACCAGTTTTTAAAAAACTGTCTTTATTATTATTGCTATTTTTTTGTAAATATTAAATTTCTATTGATAAATTAAACAATTTTTGGATATCTGAAGCAATTTTTATACATATTAAAAAATTAAAATTTTAATAAAGTCGTCCTTTTGTCGAAATTATTAAATTTTTGCTAATTTTACTTACCTCATGCTTAAACTAACACTCTTTTAAGGAAACGCGTTCAAATACTTTTTATATTTTTTCGCTTTCGTTATAGTTTTATTCATATTTTTTTCAAATTTTTTTACTTTCCGAATTTTTGCTTAATATATTTATTTTTGTTTGTTTTTTTTTACTTTACCTTTCGCGACCTAGTGATTTGAATTTTGTATAACTCCCGCGCATATATTTTTGCTTTACACAAGTTCGTAGTCTCTTCACCAAATATTTAGTAATTTCGTTTTTTTTACGTTAAATATTTCGCATACAATTTTTATAAATATATTAATGCATATGATTACAACATTACATAGTTTTTGTTTTGAATATTTTTCCAGAGTTTTGCGCACGCAATATGTGTTTATAATATTTAATATATTTTTTTTTAAATAAATTTTTAAATTTTTGTCAAAGTACATAATTTGTTGCTGTTTTTTCTAAGTTATATGGATTTTTAGGTTATACAAGGTTATATTTTTATGTTGTTGTGGCGTCTTATATAATAACAACACTTTTTGATAAACATTACTTGTATAATAATTATAAATTAATTAATTATTACTTTATTTATTTATTTAAGTCTAAAAACAGCAGCAAATAAAATATGTAAATAACAGCGCAAATAATGTGGGAAAGTGTTTTTGCTTTTGTTGTAAATATTTATTATACATCTACACTTACTGATTCTCCCAATGTCTACATGAACATGTTTCGTTTCTCACAGTGTAAGGTACAGTTTACATTGCTTTTAAATTAAGCATACAATTTACTTATGTATTTAAATATTTAAATAATTTTATTTAATTAATTAATGCAAAAAAGCGATTTGTTGAAAAAAGCTAAAATGAATGCCAGCATTTTTAGGTTTTTCTGTGTGTGATTTTTTTCAGTGTACGAAACTTTATTGCTAACTGTTAATTACACTGTACTGTTATACAGTTTTACGCTATGTTGTTGCTATTGTTATTTTATTATTTTTGTTGTTGTTGTTATTGTTTTGCTATTAAATAAGTAACAGAATAAATTAAGCTACAGCACTGAGTGAAAGTTTAAATTATTTTAAAATTTATTTGTCAGTTTATTTGTATGTATGTATGTATGTATTTCTATTTGTATGCACTTAATATAATTTACAGATATTTAATTTAAATGTAAATAATTGCTTACGCACGTAATTTATGGTTCATTTCGAACGCGGCTTAGATATATTTAAGTAATAATTTATTTTTGTGTTTACAGTCGATACCATTATTAATCGGTTCATTTTTCGAAATCAATTTTACAATTCGTTACTAATTTTAATAAATATGTATATATTTTTCATACAGAGATGCTACTTTTATAGGTTACCACTACAAACTATTTTTTTGTTTTTGTCTTGCTTAAAGTTCGAAATATGGGTGTCTTGAATTGATAAGTTAGTTATGTGAAAGCGAGGTTATGGATTTTTATACAAAGATGGTTAATTTTTCATAGTAGAGATGCTGTAAAATTAATAACAAATAATATGTAAAACAAAGTATAAATTAAGGGTAATCATTATACGAAACAAATATAGAAAAAATTATAGGAAAAAAAATAATAATTTTTTTCAAAAATTCCGGGACAATAAGTAACTAAAATAACAATTATGTTATGGAATTTTTGAAGTTAATTTTTATGGCAAAATTTAAAAAATTAAATGTTATGAGACAAAATAAAATCAAATGAAAAAAAAAACTATTGTATATTTTCAGAAAATTAATAACAAAGTATATAAAAATAAATTTAGAAAATTTTGGAAGACAAAAATTTTAGGAAGTCATTTTAAAAACCAATAAAGAAAAAATTATAGTAAAATAAGTAAATAAAATAAAAATTATGTTATGAAATTTTAGAAATTAAATTTTATAGCAAAATTTTATTAAAAATAAAAAAAATTTTATTTAAAAAAAAAAAAATTATATGACGAAAAACAAAAATATTTTTAGTAAACTACTAGCACAAAATATATTTTAAAAAAATTATAAAATTATTTTAGAAATTAATTTTTGTAGCAAAATTTTATTGACAACAAATAAAAAATAATGTGACAAAAAAAAATCATTTTTAGAAAACTTCTAGCACAAAATAAATTTTAAAAAAATTATAGAAAATCATTATAGGAAACAAACATAGAAAACATTATACGCAAATATCTAAATAATTTAACTATAACGTTATGGAGTTGTAGAAATTAATGACAATGGTAAAATTTTGAAAATTAAAATAAAAAATTATAGGACAAAATAAAAAATATATATAGAAAGAAAAAACATTTTTGTATAGTTTAGAAAATTTATAACAACAAAATATATTTAAAAAAACATATTGTAAAAAAATTTATGGGACAGAAATTATAAGAAATCATTATAGGAAACAAAAATGTATACGAAAATAAATAAATAAAATAACTATTTTGTAATGGAATTTTATAAATTAAGTGTTATGGCAAAATTTTATAAAGGGAAAAAAAGTATAGGAAAATACTAAAGTAAAAGATGAATGAAGAAAAATGTAGCAAATAATATATAAAAATAATGTAAAATTTCTTAAATGTTTCTATGCCAAAAAGTGAAAATAAATGAATTTTTATTTCAAAAAGTATAAGTTGAAAGAAGAAAAATTATAGCAAAAAATATAACAGAAAATTTAATATGAATTATGCCAAAAACACAACATAAAGATCGGAAAGAAGTTTTCGGTATATTAAAATCAAATTTTATACATAAATAAAAAAATTTCATTACTTATTAAAAATATTTGCGAAAATAAATTACTTTTAATTTTTAGACCAGTTCTAAAAACGACTTTTGGAAACATGACATTTTTAATTACATATGTTCTTAAAAACTGAATTTAATAAATAATAATTAAAAAAAAAACTATTTTATAATTTTACTTTATGCCACAATAGCAAAGCTTTTTCCTTATTAAAAAAATGATTACTTCTATCCAGTAATTTCACAGTACAGTTTAAATATTTAGCAAAAAAAAATCTTTTTATACACTTTTATACCAGTTTTATAAACGACTTTTGCAGGCTTGCGCATATTTGCTTTACGTAACAGAGTTTTATACACATATACTGCGTGCAAAGGTTTATGCCACTTTCAAAAACTAATTTTCTATACATTAATCAATTTATTTTTGGTCAATTCAAACATTTCCTTTATGGGAAGCACTTTTTTAGTGAAACTTATTATGCCAGATTTTATACCAGTTTTTTATTTATATTTTCGAGACTTAATTTTTCGCAAAGTTAGCAAAAGTCGCTATATTTTCAGTGTATATGCATATTTATGTAGTTATTGTATATTTATGTAGTTAGTGAAATATTTTATGCTTTACAATTCTAATCTTTTCATACAAAATTATTTTTTTTTCAACAATTCTTTTTTATTTCGCGTGATTTTCGTAATGTTTTAGGTGCAGTGAGCAATTTCTTTCGTTTGTTAGTAAATCAGTAAAAGTAAAACTAAAGCATTATGAAAGTGTGGACACGATAAAAAAAAAGTATAAAATATTTCGAACATATTACATGTAGGTATGCGACTTCAAGTAGCGCTACAAAAACAAAAACATCAAAGTTGTTCGTGTAATTCTATTTCTCGCTAACTTCTGGATTGTCATTTTCAGAATTTACAGTCGATTGGCATTATTGAAAATCTCTACTAATTTTTTACAATTTAATTTATCGTAAAATATTTTATAACTTTGCTAGCTTCAGCACTTCGTTGCACACGCGCCTATGTATGTATCATTTAAATTTATACAGTTATAGCTTAACATTTATTTTACACGTTTGTTGGTTGTCATTTAGCTTACAAACTAGTTTAAAGACTAGACCTACCAAATACATTACAACAAAATTGTTTAAGTCAGTCAAAAAAAATAACAGTTTCTACTTATTTTATGTGCACGAAAAAAGCCGAGTTGTAGTTGTTGCTACGGGTAAATTTGTGTAGTGTTTTGAATTGTTGGTCTTGCGAAAACATATTAAGTTATGCATTTATACCAATTCTAGAATTTAATTTTTTCAACTTTTTATAAAAAATTTTTCGTCTTCATAATTCTGTCTGTGACTTTTTAAGGAACTAAATTTTTTCTGCGCTATTTTTTACTTAGAAATATCTTATTTACAGCACTTACAAGATTTTTGAGGATTTCGTCAAATAATAAAACAAACATGAAGCACTCTCTTGAAAGAGTTTTTACTCTCCTGCAGAAATGTTTACGCTCTATTAATTTTGTATGCATTTCTACATAGTTTTTTCCTCGAAACGGTAAAAAATGGCGTTTTCCCCAACTTTGCTCAAATATTAATTATTTTAGACTAGTTTTTTTTTTTAACTTTACTACAGTCAGTTGATTTTCATATGTATGTATGTTTATGACCAATTTTTGCACAGCAAATTTACAAACATAAATTTTTTGAAATTTCTTTCTTCTTTTGCATAACAGTTTCACACTAGTTATAAAAATCTTTTAAAGCAGCTATTTCATATACATACTTGTTACAACGGTCATAAATTTGCTATGGGTAAGGAACGCTATGTTTGCGCTTAAAACTATTATACAAATTGTCAAGCATTATTATTATTATTATTATTTTAGTTGGACCATCGTGAGCACGCCTTGCCTTTTGTCACAATATTTGAAATAATTTCGTCCTATTTCATGTAATTATAATTTAATATGTACTTATACTACATTTTAGTCTTTATAAATATGCTTTTAATGCTATGTGTGCCTTAGCTTAACAACAAGCGAAACCGTTCCAATACATAAATATATACTTAATGTACATATGTGTTTGCATGCGTACTTTGTGTGTTGCACAAGTTTTGTAAGTTATTGTGGTGTTATTTTGCAGTGCTACTGCATACTTTAGGACTTTGTTTAAGATATATATGACAATAAGTTGGGAAAAGTTGCAAAAGTTAGCGTAGCAAGCAAAAAAGGTGTTTAAAAAATTATACCAGTTATATAACAGTTCAATAATATTGCCTAGGAAATGTTTTAAGACATTTCCAAGCTAGTTATAATATTATTAGCTAAAATTGTATTGAAAACAACTTTATACCAGTTTAATTATGCACGTTTTAAACGAGTTAAACACGTTATTATGTCGAAACTTTTGAAATGTATGTAAATATTTAAGTTAATGCGAAAAATACATTATACCAGTTTTATACTAGTTTTATACCAGTTAGTTATGAAGGTCTAAAAAACTTTACAAAGCAGATTTGGTTTATTTTCAATTTTACAATTTGTAATGTTCATTATATCAGTTACATAAAGCAAAATTTATATGAAAATTGCGCAAATTATATTGAAATTGTTGAAGAAAAATGCAAAAGGCATGCGTAAGCTTTAGTAGTATTGCCTTTTTAGGTATTTGTTTAACTGAATGTACCCAAAACTTTTGGCTCTTATTTTTAAAGACTTTGAACTGGTTTTTGTTATTACTGAAAACAATTTTTGCATAATTTTCATGCAATTTTTGCACAAAAAAACTTATAATCAAACAACAAAAAAAGTTTTTCATATTTTCGCATGCACATTTTTTAATATTAATTGGCATAAATTCTAACTTATTTATTGCCATTTCCTATGCTCCATTTTATATTTTTGCTTGCCGCTCACTTTTGGCATTGCCAGACTTAAGCAATTAACGTTTCTTTGTGAACACACACTAGTTACGCATACACATTTATACATTGTTTACCACGTAGTGTACGAAATACAGCTATTTTCACTTTAAGCCTAACAACAAAATCACAAAATTACAACTGACATGCGCACAACGAAAATTTCTTTTAAATTAAGTAGCAAATCAACGTTCCAAACATCACAAACATCAACACAAGACACGCGCCGCTACTCGTCGCTCCGCATGCGCCAAAAATCACGTTCCCGCGCCAACACATCGGCCACATCCGATGCAGTCATGCGATCCACTGTCGGACTGGTGGTGATCGGTGGCGCACCGCCCGCCAACTGCGTATGCAGCGCGTCGCCACTGTTGCCGACAGCGAGGCGCGTGGGCAAGCGACGCGTTGTAGTGGGCGCCGCCAACAAAGCCGTGTCGTCCTGCGTGCTTGCGCGCACGCTACTCCCGCCAGCGCTGTTGCTGCCAACACCACCGCCAACACTGCCGCCGTCTGTATCGCTTGCATTCTCCTCAAAACCATACCAATATCACATGAGCATTATTTGCAGCGCTACTCATTGGTCGATCGTGCGATATATGCGCCGCTGTGGTTCGGGTGTATAATGAATGCGCGTGCGAAAATGTTGCGGCGAGCCCGGCACGCTCTCAGAGCCACGACGCGGTGGCGGCAAAGGCGGTGAAGCGTTTACATAGCTGTGTAAAAAAAAAAAAATTAATAAAATATTTAACTGTCAAAATTTTCGCTACTCACCGTCTATTGAGCAGCGGTGAACCGCCTGGCGGCTGGCCGCTCAACTCCAGCAGCTGCTTGCGCAGCAACAGTGGCGATTGGCCGCGATTATAGCGCGGCGGTGGATCTGGGCTGCGATGTCGCCGATCCAAGCCGGTTAGCAGATGCGTATTCGAAGTACCACTGGTCATGCCGCTGGCGCCTGCCGCGGCATAGCGACGCAAAAAGCCGCTGGTTCCATCGTAGAAGTCACTGCTCGCCGTTTGTGCTGTTTTAGGTTGCGCCTCAGTCGGCGAAGTGCTGTTGCTCGTATTACTACTACTGCCCGCGGAGAGCGTACGATAGTAGGCAAGTGTTGGTTTGGCTGGCTGTGCGCTCGGTGGCAGTCCACTCTCGTAGCCGATACTCTCATGCTGATTGGCTGCGCCACTGGTGGAAGGCGAGCCTGCAGAATGCAATTGTAATTTAACATAAGAGGCAAATTGACGCTTCATGGCGCCGGCAAGTGTGTTAAACCAGCCTGTGGTGTGTTGTGGTGAATATGACAATGAAGACAAGTGCGTGAAGTTGAGGTATGGAGTGGTATGGTGTGTTGTAGTTGTACAGCGCAATAATAGAATTGGGAATGATGGTGAAGTTGAGTTAGTGAAAACGTGAGTGAGTTGAATTTTATAAAAGTGAGAGATAGCAAGCATATAAAAAGTTGTAAAAGAAACGGTATGAAAGTGTAAGTTTTGAGTGCATATAAAATGTGGTGAGTTGATTGAATTTTATTCAATGTGCGTAATTTAAATTATTAAACAAGCAAGCGTTTATGGTTAACAGCCCAAGCAAAGCATTGAAAAGGAATGAAAAGAGTACAAAACAGTAAATTTATGTGGTGAAATACATACACATGAGACCGAAAATGTAAATACGAACAATAGTAGGTAAAATTTCGTAAAAATAACGGCGAAATACTTGAATTCGAAATTTATTTACAAAAAAAAATTAAATTTTTTAGTTCACAATTAAATTTTTTTTATTTAACAACATTTTTGTGCTTTCTTTTTTATTTTTTTTTTACAATTTTTTTATTTTTCAAAATTAAATTTTTTGTTTGACAAAGTTTCACTATTAAATTTTTAATTTAATGTTTTTTCGATTTTAAATTTTTTTTCTATTTAAAAATTTTTTTTTTGCTATTTAAATTTTTAAATTAAATTAAATTTTATCTTAAAAAATAAAATTTTTTTTATTCTACAAATTTTTGTGCTTCTTTTTATTAATTTTTTATTTACCATTTTTTGTTTTAAAAAGTTTTTTTTTTTAAATCTTAAATTTTTTCTTGAATAAGCTTTTATTTATATTTTATTTGGATTAAAAATCAACTTTTCGATATTCAAATAAGTTAAAGTACGCTTAAGCGCCTAAAAATATGTTAAGAATATTTATGAAATATTAGTAGCATACTTTTGGGAGCCCAAGAATAGAACATATGACACATAAAAACAAACTGTGCTGTTGTGCAAAAAAAGTGCAAACGCCAAGCAACAGTTAGCAAATTTAACAAACTAAAGGCACAACGGTCTAACCACTTACCGTGCTCGTCCCTGTACTCCTTGCCTGCTAAGCCAACACCGCCTCCAACACTACCACTCACACCCTCCACGCCTGTATGCGTGGTTATCGTCGACGCCGTTGTCGTTTGCCACTGCCGACGCGCATACAATTTGCTCAACTTGCTCGCCATGCCGCTGCCACCACCGCCACCGCTCCCACTGCCGCTCACGCCGCCATCGGAAGACAACTGCTCCGGCGAAGTAGGTGGCGAGCGCGAACTGCGTACTGCGCTCTCGTTCAACGGTAAATAGTGCTGCGGCAACGGTTGGTATTGCAGCTGACTGGGACTCGTGCCAAAGGCGTTGCTGATTGCGGCTGCCGACGTTTGCGGCGGTGGCGGTGGTGCGCAAGTGGGTGGCGAGCGTTGTTGATGTTCGTGTAAATCGCTCAGTGCTATTTGTGAAGAGGAGGATTGTGTGGATGATTGACTAGAAGTTGAATGTGATGAGGAGGCAGCGCTGGTTAGCGGCATGTGCTGGTGGTGTGACTGTTGTTGCGGATAGCGTTGCTGCTGCTGCTGTGGCAGTTGGTAGTGATGCTGATTGCCAGCGCTGCTGTTGCTGTAATGCAATGGCGTATTGGACGCGGAAACGGCAGCAGTTGTTGATAGATAATTGCCGGCGAGAAAGGGATTTGTGGAATGATTTTTTTGCTGCAGCTGTTCCTTGCGCTTTTCCAACTCTTTCTCGCGCAGCTGGTTCTGCTGATGGTAGAAGCGTTGCAGTACTGGAATCATCAAATATTAGTAAAAAAATATGGGCAGATTTATCGGCTAAGTTCACCCACCTATTGGACTGTGATTGCCGGGCACGCGCTGCTGCGTATTCAACTCACTGCGATTAACTGGTATCAGCGATGGTTGTTGCTCCTTCAACGCCGGTTCCAGCGCTGTGACTATGGGCAGTGTTGGTAAAGCGGCGCCACCCTGAAAACGCTTTCGCGTCATTGCTGGTGAACCAAGCGCCACTGTCTTCGGCAAAGCCGGACTGTCATACACATCAAACGCATTGCCACCCATCTCCTGCACATTTGGCATGCGCCAAAGTGGATCCACTTGATGCGGTTGCGGTGTATGATGTTTTTTTTGGCTAAACGGCGAAGTGGTGAGGTTGCGTATAATCGATTGACCTGTAAGTAGCAACATTTAGTATAAGCGCATATATCAAAAACGCGCATCACCCACCTATACTGCTGAACATGGATTCCTTTTTGGGACTCTCGGCGCCGCCAATCGCGCTAGTGTATTTCAAACCTGAACCATTGCTATATTTGCGCTGCAGAAACGGCGATTTGCGGTACAATTTGCTCATCTCGCTGACAATATGTGTGGTGTCATCCTTGTGCGTTGCATCCTTGTAGCTGCTGCTGGGCGGCGATTGTGGACTGCTGCTATTGGCGCTATTGCTGCCCGAGCCGCCGCTGCCATAACCATTGCCGCCGCCAACGCCGACGCCACTGCTTAGACCACCACCACCACCAACGCCGCTGCCAGTGATGCCGCTGACGCCAACGCCTCCACCCCGTTCGCCCTGTAAATGATTGTTGGCGATGGTGTTGTTGTAATAGCTTGCAATCGGCTGAGGTAGTTGTGATGGTTGATGATGATGTGACAACTGCGTTTGCGCGTGTGGATATTGTGGTTGATAATGTGGCAGGTAATCGTCTTTTTTGTAGCGTGACGCAAGCGTTTGTGGCTGTGTGGCGTGTATGGCGTGTATGGCTGTGGCTGTGGTGGCGCTGTGATAGGAATTCTGATAGCTGGGTATGTGTGTGGCGTTTGTGGTGCTTGCTGCTGGCATTTTTGGAATTATTGTCGTTGTTGCTATTGTTGTTGTTGCTGTTGGCAAAATGTTTGCAGTTGCAATTTTGTTATGTTTACTATTTGATACTGCTGTTACATCTCCTCTGAGTGTAGCTGTGGTTGTTGTAGTAATTGGCATGTGAGTTCTGTAAAAATCATGACGCGTATTACTAAAAAATGGAAAATTATTGTCGACCAAATGATGCAACAAAACAATAATAATTTTATAATATAAACATTTATGGTGAGTAATGGTACAAGTGTGAAATGGAATATGTGCCTAGAAACTATTGTAGGGGAAGGTATGGCGCTGGTTGTGGGAGTTCTATAACAAAATTTGATCTGCCAGGGACTTATTTGTATGTGCCTAAAACTATAAATGTATGTTTGAAATCGCAAAGCACTACGATTTTTATCAATATAGCTGAGTGGTTAGATCGCTAAGTAGAGAGCTCCGAACTTGTACAGCAAATCATAGCTGCATCAGACGATTTGACTGGCAAATGCAGTGCAGCAACTTAGTGTGCGATCAATTTTGAAAGCTGTCTGCCGCCAGGAGAACAAACGACCGTTTTCGCACGCCATCTTACCAACATCTGCACATTTTTGAACGTAATGTTAGCCTTATCGAGCTTTGGACAAGTATGCACGGCTGACAAATTGCGATCGTAATATTGATTTGACTACTTTTCTCAATACCTATGGCATAAATAAATGTATATACATAAGATATTTGCGTTGTGAAACATTTCAGGACTTTGCTCAAGCTTTAACGACTCTTTGCAAAAGCTGTAGCAACAATATTGCCAGCGTAAACTGACAGCGTCTACTTTTAATTTTTCTTTTTCTAACAAAGTTTGCAGCGATCTCAGATCTCTAAATTTGCTGGTCTCTGAAGAAACATAATTCCTCGTTAGTTAAGCTGACACGTGCTGCCTTCAACCCGTTTTTCGGAGTTTTGCCTCGATAGTATAGCGGTAATATTCCCACCAATTGCAAACCCAACACCAGTGACCTATTTTGCTCAACTGTGCATATTCAAATCTCTACAGTGTCTACAACTTTCTCAACTTAAATACTTTGTGCTGGAAGCAACTTGTCTAAAAAGTGCGTTAGCATTTGTTTACAGATGATTTATAATGAGAATGATGCTTTAATTTAGCGGTTCTATTTTAATAAAACTTTTACCATTTGCATTATGAGCTTAGGGAAATGCCAAACTAAAAATTAAGAAAAAAAAATATAAACAAACTTACTTTTTTCGACAATCGGCTACATACCGCGCAATTTAAAAAAAAGCAAATATGAAACGTCCAAACACCGTTAAGTATGTATAAATCAACTTAAAAAATGCAAAAAACAAAAACAAATGAAAAATGCCAAGTGATATTACAGTTTTTGTTTTATTTCAATGAACCAACAACCAAAATTCAAAGCCTTTTCAAATGCAGCAATGATATGAACACAACAACAATAAATAAAGTAATGAAACAAAAAAGTATACTTACTGAATTGGGAGAGTATGTTTTATTGTTTGTTTTATTATTTTTGAGGGGGTAAAAGATTAGGAATTAGGTAACCTACAAAAAATTTCAATAAAAAAGAAAGAAAAAACAAATTAAATAATAAAACGCAAAAAATTATGCTGGGAGCAAAAGTAATTCGTATTTCAATATTATTTCGTTGCATTATTTTTTTTTTTTTTATAATGGCATTTTAATAGTGTTTAATCATGTTGAAATGTTAGCAGCGTAAGTAGGACTTTGAAAAAGTATGCGTTAGCGTATGTGATAAAGCTAAATCATGACAACAAAGGCGTAACAATTTAGAACTCTGCCAAAATTGTAGTTACGAGTAGCAAATATAAAAAAAATTTTAATGCAGGCTTAACGTAAAATACGATATGGAAAGTTTTAAAGAGTTAAGAAAGTTTAAGAATTAAATGTTAAGGTGTTAACAAAGTAACTACGATAATTAGAGTCAAACTTGAAATTTAAATTAAACATGCGCTATAACCATATTTGAACAAAAAAAAACGCAACTTAACGTTAAACAAGCTGTGGATTTATCAAATCTTGTCTTATCTTTTTGAAACTACTTTAAAGGAGAACAAATTTTTTAATGCTTTAAAATTCAATTTCTTTTAAAAATATATTTAAAAAAGCATTAAGCAAAATTATTGGCGATTAAGTGCACCAAAATTATTTTTAGTAACTGCTTTGAAAGCCGAATATTAGAAAAATGTTTATGAATAATTTCAACACAAATTTATATTTAAAAAAAATATATAAATGACGCTGTAGAAGTATCAAGCACTTATACTGTATTAAAAATTAAGTTTTTACGCAAATAAAAAAAAACGTTGTAAAATTTCGATAACACACTCACAAGCAACACACAATCCTACCTCGCAAATAGGCATAGTTTGAGAGGAAATGAATTTTGAAATCAAAAAAGAAACTATATAGTGTACTAAAAATGCAGTGAAGATATGGCACTAGCACGCGGCAGAACAATAGCGTGTGAATTGTGGTACTAAAAGTAATTACCGGCAACTAAATTAGTTTGTGTTTTAATTTTTGCACATACCTATGCATCTCTATGTCGGCAGATTCGACAACAGTCTTAAACCATTGAATCACATTCACATCAGCCGCGTCGTAGTAACGAAAAAATGGTTGCTGCAAGAGTTCTTGGTATCTGGGCCGCTGATGTACATTTTTTGTCAGACTGCAATGCGTTTAATAAAAAGTTTACTTTAATATGCTTAATAATAATTTATGTGACACGCACCATTTATCGACAAAATCGCGAAATTCTTGGCTGAAGTCGCAACCATCGCCGTATGGCAAACTGGGTGGTTCGTGATCCAAAATTTTAGTCAGCACCTCAAAGTCTATATTGCAGCCTTCGTAAGGCGAACGACCGGTTGCGAGTTCCACTAGCGTTATGCCCAACGACCAAACATCGGCACGTATATCATATTTCGGCTTTTTCGGATCGATGCGTTCAGGCTAAAAGCATTTGTTACATTATTTTTATTATTAAGTACAATGTTTGTGTGAGAATAACATTTACCGCCATGTAAGCAGCGCATCCGGCAGAGCGTGTATTCGCTTTTGAATCCACCAGTCGCCCGCTAATGCCGAAATCGCACAATTTAATATTGCCCTGTTCGTCGATGAGGATGTTTGAAGGTTTCACGTCTCGATGTATGACATTGTGGTTCTTTTTTAAATAAGAAAGAGCGTGCACCGTCTAAAAACAGAATGTATTTAATAAACATAATAAAGCCAAGCAGTGTTTGTCGGCATAATTTGTGGGTTTTAGTTAGCAATGCATTATAAAAGTTTTTTTTTTCTAATTTTTCTTCGATAACATAGTGATCAGTATCAAAAATCATGCTTTTTTCCTCGATAGCATAGTGGTCGGTATCAAAAAAAAAATTTTTTTTTTCCTCGATAGTATAGTGGTCAGTATTAATCGTTATTTTTTGACGTACTTACCGCTACAGTAACCTTCCCAAGTATATTCTCCGGCACTGGCTGTTTGGAACGCCTTAACAGCTTATCAAAACACATTGACATCAGTTCCATGCATATCCACACATCCGGTATATTTACAAAATAACCTAAACAATGCACTATATATGGGCAGTCATGTGAATTTAGTATAACATCGAGATCCATGAGTATACGATTATTCTCTTCATCATTGCCAGTGCTACGCATTTGTTTTACGGCTAAAATCGTGCCCGTAGGTTTGTGTCGCATTTTCACCACATTCCCACTAGTGCCATTACCCAAATCACTCAAGTGCTCCAAATCGGACATTCTACTAGTATATTTTTGTCCATTTATAGTTAGTATACCGGATTGTTGTCGTATTCTTTTAAGTTTCTTGTGCATTTCTGTTTGTGGGCCATTACGATTTGTATTGGGCATTACCACTGAAAAGATAAAATAATAATTTATGTTGTTGCTTTTAAAATATTGTAAAATCATTTATGTATATCGACAGAAGATAGTGTTGTCTTAAAGGAAAGTAAATTATTTCACCAGACAATCGGATTTATGGAACGAAAATGTACTGAAATCTGGTAAGCCAAGGTGCATATAACATTTATTTCAAATACTTATTAATCATTTGGTAATTCTGACTCCATAAAATATACCATATATGTATATAAATGATCATCGTGACAAGCTGAGTCCTTCAGTTTTTGAGATATCTATCTGAAATTTTGCAGACGTCCTTTTTTCGCCAAGAAGCTGGTTATTTTTCGCAACCAAAATCAAGTTCTTTTATGGAAAACTTTTTTGTTTAACAAGATATCTTCACGAAATTTGGCATGGATTATTGACCGAACAAATTTTTCAGATTGGAGCACTAAAGCAATACAAATTGTCCGCTCAAACCCAAGTTATCGTGGGTGCAGCCGAAATTAAAGTGTATTTTTTGTTTGTATATTATTGGTCAATTATACAGTGGCAAAAATACGGTCATTGTGAAATTCGATAGTTCTAAATTGACGCATTCGAAGGAGGTCGAAAGAAAAGCAGCAAGCATAAATAAAAGAAATCAATAAATCAAAAATAAACATTCCCTCTGCGCCCTTCTGCAATATTGTCGCATTGCAGCTGGTAAGGAATGTAATTCCGTTTTGATTAAGCATTGTTGCCAAAAAATTGATTGGCTGCAACGCCCAACTACCCACCAACCACCCACAAGCTCGTCAACAACAACTGAGAGCATTACATTATTTATATCAACAATGCTGTTAATTCACAATAGATAACGCTATACAACATCTCCTCACCAACATACTCTGTAATTTACACATCTCTAACACCCACCAACCGTACACAGGTTGCCCACAAGCAAACACAACCCACAAGTAACAACAACAAATTGTAAAACAGCTGCGCCAACCCATAGCATAAAATATTATTTGCAAGCAAGCAGAATTTACAAACAAAAAAATATACAACAAAGTTGGCGACATTCAAACGCAGGCAACAAAAACAATTTGGTCGTAACGTCATGAGCAAAATCAACGTTAGACGATAGCAACGCCAACGTCAGCGTCAACGCTGGCAGCGCAGCATAAACTTGCATTAATGTAGAAGATTACGAAAAACAACAAATTCATAACAACGACGTCGACGTCTACGCAGTAGATACCTTTACAGCGTATGCAGTTAAAAAGGTATTAATACGGACGCACACAAACGAACAAACAGCAGCAACGAAAATATGCCTCTGTACTGCTCGTCCGGAAATACCAAAATATCCAACCATAAGCAACAACAATTCATACACACACAGACATATGTTTGACGCCACATGCTTATGAACACGGCGATGACAGCAGAATAGTAACGACGTCTCATTGAAGGGGGGGGATATGAAAAATAAAATAAAGTGTATCAAAACGTATCGACCAATAAACCGACCAAGTGCGACAGTAGCTGAAACAAACAAAAAATAAATAGTAAAAAATTCCACATTAAAATAGAAAAATGCCAATAACAAATTGGATGGCGACAATTTTTTAGGAAAACGCAGACGATAGCCACGATAAACGATGACAGTGCATATACAATGTATGTATGTAGGTATATGCGCGTACATATCAGAGATATCCAATGCGAAACAATGCGACGTCAATGACGAAAGCAGCGACAACAACAGTAAAACAAAACATTAAATGTATTGTATAAAAAGTGCTTGTGTACCACAGTAGTGCAAAGCTACGGCGACAAAGGCTATGCATGTGGAAATGCCTGGTCTGACTTTAGGCACTCTTAAGAGTACTCAAAAGCACTGCCAGGATTAGCTATAGCGTGCGCTGCTGCTGCTGCACACTGCTAACGTCTGTACGCCAGCGACAAATGACAAAAGCCAGTGCCAGGCGCCAACGCACGGGTGTGAGAACAACTCAAGTTAAGGCGCTTGTTGTTATTGTTGCTGTGGTAGTAGCTTTTCTTTATGTGCACACGCATACATCGTAAGGCAATGTGTAGAGGGTGGATGAATAGCTGGTGAGATCTCGAAAAGCGACCACAAGAGCAGTATACACGTTTTCCTGTTGTACGTGTATGTGGGTGGTGATGCCTGCAAGGGTGGTTAAGAACCTGCATTACTGCAGCATTTGAAGCTCGCGCAGTAACAAAAACTTCGCACCATTGTACGGCTGGCGCCTAATGTCAGCAACCTCCTTTTGTGTACGACTCGTCGCAAATGAATGAATGATGAAAAAAACGTAACGTTGAACGTGCTAAGTTGCGACTTTTGTGCATTAGCAAGCTTCACTGCATTTAAAAGCATACAACTCGCAGTGGTACTTTGCCACCACTTATCAACACTATCTTTTGTCTTATTTCAAACATAAATGTTGGAAATTTGTTTTTGTTGCCTAAAATACTTACAACCCAAGTTGGGGCGTTTTGTCTTGCCGATTGGTAACGACATGTGGACATCTCTGTCGCCAACGCGCGTTGTAGAGCCACTAGGAGGGTCTGTAACAAACATCAAGTGATTGTGTGAATTATTCTCCTCCTCGAGGCGTTTCTCCAGTCTGTGTATTCTATGGCCAATCGACTCCATTGAAGAAGTGCTTGTTTTGCTAACTGCGCTTGATATATGCGTCGATGTAGTTGGCGTTATCCTTGCTCCTGCAGTGCCTGCTGCGTTGGGTAATGGTGCTCTTCCTAGCTGATGGTGCTGCTCACGACTGCTACTGCTGCTGCTGTGTTTATACTCCGGTGCGTCGTGCATGGGTCGCGCGTGTGTTGTGTCGTGTCTGCGCTGTATATCGCTGCTACTGCCACTCCTCCGCGCGGGTGTAAGTGGATCTGCGTGTACGCTTTTTATATGTGTGCGTGTGAATTTTGTGCACTCAAAAATTTTCACTGCGAAAATTTCTGTCGTTTTATCTAAACGCACTACACTTCTACCGTTTAGATGTAATAAACGTACGTCCAAGCACAATTATTTATCTATTCGGTCGTGCACTTGTTTTCTTTTTAATTGAATTATCACTCAAATAAGAAATAAAAAAGGAAGAATCTTGATTTTTCACTACTTCACAGAACACAGCACGAAAAATACTGAAGAAGTTGCGAGAAATTCAACAACGAATACCAAGGACAAAACGTATTAGCAGTTAATACAGCGAATGTCATACAACGCAAATGTCAGAATAAATAGAGTAATCAAGTTTGCTGCGACTAAAATCAGAGAACGTATATGATAGAGAAGGTTCAATTGCGGACCAGCGTGTGAATTGTCAAAACCTAACAAGATTTTAATAGAGGATTTCACCACTTTTGGCTCGGAAGGAGAAATTTTAACAGTGGAGAGTGAACAGAGCTGAGCATTGTATGAAAATTATGCTCAGAGACTTGCTTTGATATTACAGCTGCATGTTAGCCTTTTGGCTTATATTTTTATACGTTTATATGCAATCATATTTATTGATATGAATATCATTTTGCGAATTTTTTTGAATGCATGCAAAACTGATAAGACTCTAATTAAATTATGTAATTTCGAAATAATATTTATAGTCAATTTGGGCATTTAATAATTTTATTTAGTTTTTACATAATATACTTTCCTAATAAATATTTAATATTATAATAATAGAGATTAAATTTATTACAATATATGTATGTGTACATATGTACATCTTTTATCATATTAATCTTATATAGTCATATGTATGTACGTATGTATTTGAATGTACGCATTCAGAAAGTCAAATCATGATTTTATCACTTATCAATACACTATATGTGCGCGCATTGATTTATATGTACACGCATATATCTACATAAAATTGCCGTACAAATAATGCATACACAAACCAACGTACATATGTGTGTGCGTACACATGTAAATATGTCACCCGCAAAAACTACAAACGTTGTTCTACAAAAACAACAATCGTCACAAGTCAATATGTCAGCCAAATAGGCGAAGCCCAAATTTATAGTAAATTACACAACAACAACATTTTCATTCATGAATGCAGGCGTACTTTTAACAAGCAACCTCGCTTCATTCATAAAAACAGACACCCTCTCATCTCCCCGAGCATGCGTTTGCCAACAAGCATCTTTTCGCGACGATGGCAAAAGCTAAAAATCATAAATTGAACAAATTTCTGATATTCCCTCTGGAAGGGAAAAGTTGCAACCACGCAAGCCCACAAAACACAGAAAAAATTGACAAAACTGGCAACAAAGCTTTTGTCGATTTAAAATATTTTACAATTTTAAAATATTTTTCCGTGTCTCACAAAAATCTGCGTCAATATGTATGCATGCTCATATATAAACATACATATTTAGGATGACTTGTGGGCAAAGCTGTTAGAGCGGCAAGGGAAGCGGTGACAATCGGCGGCCGTTCGTTAATATTTTTTCGGCACAGCTCGGATTTTCTACCAACAACACAATGTTGTGACGCTTTGTCGTCGCGTCAGTCCTTCGACACAGTGACTCTTTGACAAGAAAACAAAAAACTTGAGCTCGGCCATTGGTTGTCCGTGGCAACGGAGATTTCGCATGAAACAATGAGTGTACATATTTACATACATACGTTGCATATAGACAAATTAACAATTATAATGGGTACTTTCATATTTGTTTACATGTAAACATAATTATACATATATAATATATTTTAATAAGAATATTTGGGACCGCTTCGTCTTTTCTTATCGGGTTATGTCAAGCAAGAGGTGTACAAAATCAAACCCAGAAATCTGACTGAACTGAAGCAGTCCATTAAATAGATAGATGATGCAATCCCGAATTAGGTGTCGCATATGCGTGGTTGAGCATGGAGGAATAATTAATTGTTTAAATAAAATAAAATTTTCTATACAATAAAAAAAAAATGTATGTAATGCATTGACTAAAAAGAAACTTATTACGGGTTATTTTTGTAGCACGATTCGTGAGCCGCCCTGTATAAGCAGAATATCTTAAAATTATATATAAATTCGTTTGCGCATTGCAAATATACGAATCTGTAAGCGTACATTTCTTAACATTGAATTTAGCATTATTTTTCTCATTTAACATTCAAAATGCTCAATTCTGCTATTTTGCGCTCCGCAGGGGTAAAATTCTGGTGAAATCCGCTTATAATTTGTTTGAGGTGAGATCCTCTTAAGTTGGCGAGTAACCCTCCGTCAAGAGGAACATTTTGACAATCGGCACACCATGAACCTTCTCTATGATATACGTTCTCTGCTAAAATTGAGAAAAAAATACATTTGTAATAAATAAAATAGATACTGATGACCAAACTATAATTTTTATATATTACATACATACTCATAACAATATATATAAAGTTAGTTATTAAGTTACATACTTGTATTATCAAGTTTTGTGCCAAAAATTATATAAAAAACTAAGTTTACCAAATTTCAATATGAGTAACTATTGTGACCGAGCAGTAGTCAAGAAGTGGAATTGAAGTTCTATTTATTTACATTTTTTGTTTTCACAATGTCGGATGAATATGAGTTCGCTGCAAAAGGGAAATTAAAGCTTAAAAATGATAGCCAACACAAGAAAAAGAAAAAAAGTAAACATAAACATAAAGACAAGGAGCGTGAAAAAGTGTATTTGCAAACTAGCATAAACGAGTCGTTGGAGGATAAAGTCAGCAGTGGCGCTGCACCGAAACTGACTAAGGCCGAACTTGCATTTAAACAGCAACAGGAAAAAATGGTAAGTGAAAATGTTGAACATGAAAGAAAAACATTACTATATTCTCTAAACCGCTACAATAACTACAGCGCAACAAACGCATTATGGAGAAAGCTTCAACAACACACAAGGAGCGCGTAGAAAAGTTCAATGAGCACTTGGATTCGCTGACAGAGCACTTTGATATACCGAAGGTTTCCTGGACAAAATAGTGGAGTGCTTATGCATTGCTTGCGTCTTATATAAACAACTTATTATGCTTAACTTCACATGTATATTTATTTGAAAATTAAATAAAATCCGGCATAATGCATATTTCGCTATTTAAAACATCTTAAATTTGCTAATTTAGAACTACTTATACTTTATAACTTTCTTAATATCTAACAAATTAGGCGTTGATGCGCCTCTTGGGCTGCAAGCATATGTGTGCTCTTTGGAATTTCATATCACGTTGCATAACAAATTTTCACAGACCCACCTTCCACCACCAATTATTCAGCTTTTGCTAAATATAATGGATTTCACAGTTTCCACAAGTGGAAATTTGGTCTTATAAGCGCGAGGACAATAACTCTTCACATCATCTGTATTTAAAGAGAATATCATAACGCCACCAAGTTGATGTGCCTTCACATATAGTGCTTTACAGGCAATACTAGTCTCGTTTTCGTATGAAATCCATTCTGTGCCACTACTAAGATAGGGTGAACAAGTTGATTTATCATATGTTTCATGGACTACTAAGTTATGCGTGTTGAACCAGCAAAGTTCTGAATAGGAAGTGAAACCCAAACTACCACAATGTCCTAGGTCTTTAGCTGGTGCACCAATGCCATTGTTCAGAGAGCTCATCAAACTATAATTACATATTTAAATAGATGATAAACCTTGCTTTAATTTTTGGTAGAAACTACTTACGTAAATGAATGTCCATAGGTGGGTAAGCCAACGACCAATTTTTTGCGATCCAAACCATTGGAGAGCCACCAGTTGACCGAATAATTGATATTCAATGTGCCGAGTAACGAACGCTCATTTGGGCGTGCATATAACGGTGCATTTAAACCTAAAACAAAACTTGTTATTAAATTTTAGAAAAAATCTATAAAATGAAATTCACCTGTAAAAGGTGTACCGTGCGAGTAGAAATGATAATCGTATGTCATTAGACTCACGTAGTCCACGTACTGATTTAACATTTGCACATCATAAGCGAAAAATGCAATGCCCTCCGGTGCAGCTGCCGCTACGGTCAGTAAGTAATCACGTCGTTCACGCCTATACTCCTGACGTATTTCATATATTAATTGCGAAAAATGTTGGCGTTCTTTATTGTAGGCGCTGGGAAATTCCCAATCCAAATCAATGCCGTCTAGCTTATACATAGCCAACGTTTGTTTGACAGAGTGCAAGAACATTTTGCGTGTAGTATGATTTTTTACCATTGCCGGAAAGCCATCACTATTTGCGCCACCACCTATCCACAGCAATAGCTTTAAAGCTGGATTTATTGTGCGTAACACCAGCACATCTTGTGCTAATATGCGTCGCAAATTTTCAGTTATAACCAACTGACCATTACTCGCACTAACACTAACCATGCCCACATTGATGTGAGTACAAAGTTCGGCATTGACATTGGCCAAACGTAAGTCAAATTCATTTTCTGGATCGGGTACTGAATAATAGCACACTAAACGCACTTCTGGTGTTGTACTCATAGTGGGTGGTGCATTTTTTACTAACTGTGGTGCACTAGGTTTCACTTTTTGTTGCGCACTCAAGCCATTTAGTCCGCTATCAGGATTTTGCAATTTTACACGCACTGATTGATTTTTGACCAAACGAAAGTCATGCGAAAGTGTACTCTCATGTACGCTATTGGCATACAAGTTGGCGCGACGATACCAGAAATCGGGAACAGCTGAAATATGAGGCGTGTGTAGTTATTAGAAAATGTCTTTTTATAACTATCTAACTAACCTTGCACATCGGGCGGATAATATATATTATCGTAAGCCGAGCTCCACACAAGAAATACCAATATAGTGGTCAGCATATAGAGAGCCATTAATGCTGCTATACGCCACCATGACTGCGATTGTGATGGCTCGTTCATCAATTCGTAGTCAGCCATGCCTTTACGCCTTTTATGTGTAATAGCACTCTCAAAATAATTTATTTCAAACCTTTTGTATGTAAATTTTATAATGACACTAAACTATCAGCTGGTTGAAAGAAAACGAATAAACAACGAAGTAAACAAAAAGGCTATATAGATAAATAGCGAAGTAGATACGAATTTGTACACTGCGACAAAAAATTAAGCCGATTATATTGATTTTGCGAAATGTGTATATGAAACTATTTTAATAGCATAGTTTTAACTGATAAATTATTGTGTATTACGTGAAATATTAGTACATAAAGCTCTCAAGTATTTAAATTTAATAAAACGAAAAAAATACTACTAAAAATTGCAATACTAAAGTGATATATGCATGCAACACTGCTGCGCCATTTGAAATTACTCGTTACTTTTCAGAACAGCTACAATTAATGTAAACAAATTTGATTAGAGCTGCCAAAGTGAAGCTCTGTTTTTGTAAACAAACTTATTTTTCTGCTATAAATCAGGCAAATGCTATTTGCTTTGTTGGATATTTATTGAGTAAGTTTACTAATAATAAATAAAAGTTTCAAGTTTACATAACAGCGACATTACTATCAACCAATGTTAAGATAGCTGCACTTTTTAAAGCACATTGTGCACTGGCAACCCTTATAGGAAATGTATTTGATTTTCCTTGCGCCACATTTCTTTTGAATTTCCCCGCATTCACGTTCGTTGGTTGTGTGCGAAAGGTTTGTTTTCATGTGTACGAAGCGTATCGGTTTTTTAAATTGGAATTGTGAATTTTAATGCATCCTTTTGTGGCGCTGAATAGTGTAATTGGTTTTTATAGCACAATTATTGTAATATATATATGTGCATATATAAAAGAATATTGCTAAAGTTTTTGTGGAAATTAAAAGAAATGTGTAGCAATACATGTAGTTTATATTTGTGCAAACATACATATACATACATGCACATAGACGTGTCTAGCCCCCTTCTTTGCATTCCGGCCGTATCAACAATGTTATGCATACTAACAAATCCTGCTGTCTCAGTGGTAGCTTGCAACTGCTCAACTGCGATATAAAAAAATAACAACCAACTACTTCAGCTTCTACTCAGCTACAAGTACTGTTTCAAGTGTCTCAGCGTCGCCACCCAACCACTTTTTATTGTGCCACTCCAATTGTGTGCATTTTATATGTTTGCTGTTATATGTTATCGCATGCGTGTGTGTTCTACCAACATCGTTGCCAACCCAACCACCCACCGCTGTGTATGTGCACGCAATTGCCCCGCCCTGTTCAACGACTCGTGCCTTTGCACAACGCTTCAACCCATTATTTTGTACAAAGTATAACATTTATTACTCCATTTATATGCGTAACTTTGGCTGCTGTCTCCATCACGCTTTTTGTTACTGTTATTGTAATAATTTGTGAATATATATTTTTTGCTACCAATCTTCCAATTTGCATTCACATTTATGCCTGGTGTATGAGAAAATCCAATTTCCTTGCTGTTTTGCTACTTCCTGCTTTTATCATTTTCATCCTTTCCGCGTACCAAGTCGGCAAACAACAAACAACACAGTGAACCGGCCAGGCAGTCGGGCAAAAATCGATAATGACGCTGTTGTGCGACGCAGCTTGGTTTGTTGTCATTTGTCGTTGGTGCTTGAGTCAGCTATCCTTGCTTAAAGCTGTTGTTGTTGTGTTAGCTGCTACACAGCATTTCTTTGTATTTTGACGCTTGATTTCCTTCCTTGTGCCTGATGGTGGTTGGTTAGACGGTTTGCACCAGCCGTTGGTTTGGCGCGCTTGAACAGGGGCGCAAACGCAAACAATTTTGTACAAAGATTTCAGTTTTTCTGTTTGGAAAAACGTAAAAGTTGTTGTGACTTTAACCACATATTTGGAAAATATGATGCATTTACGCTTGCATATCAAAGATAAATTAGTTTTTTCAGTATTCATGTTCGTACTCGTTGAAATTTATGTCCTGTCCAGCTGCACAATATTTATAGAAAACAAACTTGCTACAATAGCGTTGTTAATTAATTTTCTTAAGTCAAATTTGTGTCGCTTTCCCTAGCATTTTCTTTCACAATTAAGAAGTTTTTAATATTTCGTAAATTGTCACAGCAAATAGCAAACAATTGAAAGATGCTGCTAATCAAACTAACGAATTTTAATGTCTGCCCGCTAATTATGATCCGTTAATAACTCGTCGCTATCACTCTCTCCAACTTTAATTGTCAGTGCGTCTGTCAACTGTCACTAACGCGAAAGCGTCATCGATTTTGTATATAATATTTTGTTTGAAACACTATAATTTTCCAACACCCCAAAAGTGGGAAAACATATGCTGGTCATGCCACCAACAAACTGCGCTGACAATCATACACACGCACACACAGACGCCAGTGCATGTTTGAATGCTTCAATGCACAAACGAATCGACATGCTGCAACAACAATGTAGCAAACGCATTGCAATCATGCACATGCTGTGTTATTATTGTTGTTGCTGTGTTAACTCCACAAAGCGCCTCAACATATGTAGTGGGTTGGTAGTGGGGCAGCGTGTGCGCGCTGACACTTGCACTTGTCAGTGTGGCAAGCAACAACACCAATATGACGAGTTTATGGCGTTCGTTATTGCGAGCTGCGCCATGTAGCTGCCGATTTAAGTTGGACAATGTTGAATTTTTCAACTGGTCGGCATTCGTATCGCGCTCGCGTAACTGTGCACATTGCCAATTCGACTAGGTAGCGAACGGAAGCTGCCAAGCGGTTGTAGAGCAGGCAAAAACCAAAACAAATTTGGTGAAAAGTGCAAGGAGGAAATGCAGTGACAGCAACAGGAATTGCGCTGCTAATAGTTGAAGACGGTCATTGCCATAATAAGCTGACAGGTTGCTTGTCATTTGATATGTGTTGACGGCGGCAAAGGAGGGTGTAGCCATTTTTGAAAGTGATATTAAAGAGATTTGAAGTATTATAGAAAATTAATATTAAAAAACGTGTTTAATGCAAATAGTAAAACATAGAAACGTTATAAAAACAAATTGTGCAAATTTTTAATGTTTTAATAAATTTTAATATTTATTCTGCGTAACAGCTAATGTAGTAATGCATTTATAGTTACTAATGTGCTTGCAATTCCATGTAACTACTATTTGTGTGTATAGGTTATTGTGGTGAACCTACAAATTTAGTTTACAGTTACATTAATTAATAGAAACAACATTAATTGCAACGCTAAACAAAATATACCAACTAATAGTTGCTCGAACTATTATTGAGCACAAACATTGCCTACCACGCTATGCAATTGCCGCTATATGCTGTTGTAGGAAGCCAACAAGTAACGCAAGCGACATAAATAACACTAGCTTACACAAATAAGAACAAATCCAATTAGAAAAATATTTGCGTGATAAAAAGACACAAATAGCGCGGCTAACTTGTTTGGCCAACCAGCAGGCGGCGCCACTTGCCGAGCACATAGGTCAACGGTGGCACAGTCGGCGCACGCGACATTAGCCGCCCAGCGTATACTTTTTCAAAGGTAAATTTCAAAAACAATCGAACCGTAGCGCCACACAACGTGCACGAAGCGCACTGAGCGCCAATAGCTGCGAGCGTTTGTCAGTGTTTTACGTATATTTAGTGCGCGTACGAACCGCGCGTGTAACGCACCGCTGCGTCATTTGTGTTAATATTATAATTAAATGTGTAAGGTGGCGCGCGTTGACGAAAACGAATATATATTTGAATAACATACGTGTTTTATTCTTATATAGCATTTAACTACTACATACATAAGTACAAAAAATAAATTAATAATACTTACGCAAAATTACCACAACAACGTAACGCAGCGAAAACGTTAAATTCAAGTGTTAAATTGCTGAACAAAGCAGCAAAACTTCATTGCTCAAACATACTAAATATAATCAACTACAGCGTTTTGTGTGCGCGTTGTAATTATGGCCGCTACACCGCTGACCCTGATGGATGGCGGCCTCGCAGCAGCAACGGTTACCGCAGATGCCACAGCAAATTTAGATAATGCTAGCAATATAGCAATTACAACAACAGCTACAACGGGCGCTGCCGCCAAAACTGCGCCATCATGCGCCATACGGCCAACAATGCTTTTTGGCTCGACGGAACATTTAGATACATCCGCCAGTATATTGGTCTCACCGCATGGCAGCAGCAGTGGCAATTCCGCCGCTACATCGCCCTCATTCCTGCCGGAGATGCCGCAATGGAAAAAAGACTTGATACAACGCCGCAAATCGAATGTGGCACGTACGATTGGCGCTGCCGGCGCAGTAGTGTCACCGACAACAGCGGCATCCGCTGCAACAATGCAACAGCAACGCTACTCGCTGACAAGTGGTCAACTGCAATCGCCAACAGCTGCCGGTGAGTGTATACATACATATGTACATGATTGGACTGCAACTAAATTTTTTAGTTTTATTTTAATTTTTAACTTGTGCTGCTTTGACTCAGCGCAGCTACACAATTGTTGCTGATGTTGCAAATTCAATTAGCGCGTTTTTGTTGCGCATTTTTGCGTGTCCGTAGCATTGGTTAGCTGGCATCTTCATTAATGCCACAAGTTTGCGCATAATCCATTTGTGTTTTGCAAGTTTTGCTGTCAAACCACAAAAATATTCGCTGTGCTTAAAGCCTAGTTGTTGTCATGTTGCTGGTGCACTTGATTTTTATATAATTATGATACGCCATCGCAGCTATCAACTTTCAAAAAATTTCAAAATAACCATGGAATGTGGTCGCAAGCCACGAGAGTTGCAAAGCTATGCCATCGTTGCATATTCCCACGCTATTTGCTCTTGGCGCCATGTTGCTTTTTCGGAACCAAGGTAACTGCAATGTCAATATCGTTATATTTTTACTAATTCCACTTGTAAGGATGTTATGATCCAGCTCATAGTAGTTTTGGGTACCACAACGGACCGGCGTTTAAGCTGTCCAAGTGTGAACCTTTAGGATCGACCCTCTAACCTAAACTAACCTATCCTAGGTAAACATTGCTGAGCAGACCGTTTTTGGTAATCCATTCTGGAACTCTGAAAGCTAAAACGTTTTCAGCTCTTTAGTCTTCATGATGTTTAGGGGACTGTCACTTCGGCAACATCTATCAAATTTACCTCACTAATGTTTTTGGCGCTACAACCACAACAACAGAACTTATAGAGCTGGCATTGTGTCCGAAAACCTCAGTTATATTAGATCTTTAGAATGTGATGTACTGACATTTACGTCACAACTTCTAGTATGTCCGAATTTCAGTTTTTCAAATTCTAGTCAGAGTCTTGTGTCTTAGAAAATATTTCTTGAAATATCGTAATTATTGACCAAACTTTCGTGCACCAGTCTAGTATGAAGTCTTCGTAAGATTTACCACCGTAGTTCGAAGCAAAGTATAAAGTCTACTACCTTGTTTTTTTTTTTTTTTATTTGACAATGCATCGGGCATCAATTAAGCTGACTGCGACCGCTAATACCCTGTCAGCACTTTTTCATAGCAATCATTCCCATGCCTTTCACGCTGTAAGCGTCTAACTCTCTTTTCCACTACTCTAATCAAAAAAAAAAAAACATCGTCTTGGCATATAACGCCCCAAACGGCCTCTCACTATCACCACAATTTCAAATTGCAATTGCAACAATGATGCCGCAGTCAAACAGCATATTTTGTCTTAATTGATTTCCAACCTACATAAATGCTTAACCGCTTAACAGCATCGTCATCGTGTTGTTGCTGTTGTTGTTTGTAGAAAAGATTGTAGCCTCATTCGTAGTCAGTCTATTAAAGCATTCTGGCATAAATAATTTTTACAGCATAAAAGTTTGCAAGTTTGCAAGTGGTGTTAATACATCAGTGTATTTGCGGCGCCGGTTGCATTGTTGTGCTTACTTTTTACCCGATGACCTAATTACAGCCACATACTATACATATGTATTATCTAGATAACTCTAGCTGTAAATTTTTGCGCGTATGAAGAGATTGACACTCAGTTATTTTTTTGAGTGTTTTTTATTCACTTTTTTAATTTTTTATACTTTTTTTTTTTACATTTTTTTATATTTTTTATATAAATTTTCTTTTTGTTTTTCTATGTTAAAAGAATTTTTTTTTGTTTATTATACTTTATTTAATATTATTTTTATATTCTTTTAGTTTTTATATACATAGTATGTACATATATATATATATATATATTTTTAAATTTGTTTTATTTTTTTCAGCTTATTTTTTTTTGTAATTTTTTTTTCTATTTTTTATTATTTAAAAAAAAATTTTTTTTAAATATTTTTTATTTATTTTTTTTAATTTTTATACTCTCGCAACCTGTTGCTACAGAGTATAATAGTTTTGTTCACCTAACGGTTGTTTGTATCACCTAAAACTAATCGAGTTAGATATAGGGTTATGTATATATAAATGATCAGGATGAAGAGACGAGTTGAAATCCGGGTGACTGTCTGTCCGTCCGTCCGTCTGTCCGTCCGTCTGTCCGTCTGTCCGTCCGTCCGTTCAAGCTCTAACTTGAGTAAAAATTGAGATATCTTTATGAAACTTGGTAGACATGTTTCTTGGTACCGTGAGACGGTTGGTATTGCAGATGGGCGTAATCGGACCACTGCCACGCCCACAAAACGCCATTAATCAAAAACAAATAACTTGCCATAACTAAGCTCCGCAATAAGATAGACTGTTATTTGGTACACAGGATCACATTAGGGAGGGGCATCTGCAGTTAAAACTTTTTTTTAAAAAGTAGGCGTGGTCCCGCCTCTAATAGGTTTAATGTGCATATCTCCTAAACCGCTAATGCTATAATAACAAAATTCACTAGAAGAAAATATTTTTAGCACTTCTATTGACGGTGTGAAAATAGTTGAAATCGGGTGGCAACTCCGCCCACTCCCCATATAACGGTACTGTTAAAAACTACTAAAAGCGCGATAAATCAAGCACTAAACACGCCAGAGTCATTAAATTTTATCTCTGAGATGGTATAAATTGGCTTTATAGGAACCGCGTTCAAAATTAGACAGTGGGCGTGGCACAGCCCACTTTTAGGTGAAAACCCATATCTTGAGATCTGCTTAACCGATTTCAACCAAATTCGGTGCATAGCGTTCTTTTCATGTTTCTATGTCATACTGCGAAAATGGGCGAAATCAGACTAGAACTACACCTACTTCCCATATAACACCATTTTAAATTCCATCTGATTCTTTCACTTTCCACTATGCAAATCAGGCAACAATGACTGTATCGGGATAAAACTTTGCGTGAATAATGCAATTAAAGTATGCCACCTTGTGGCCAAAAATTGTCTAAATCGAACCAAAACTGTTCAAACCCCTAAGTACTAAATATGTGGACCCCAGTGCCTATAGTTGACCTTCTACCGAAAATATCAGTCAATCCACAAAGAAATCTCAAACGAGTATACCATTTGACCTTGCGAGAGTATAAAATGTTCGGTTACATCCGAACTTAGCCCTTCCTTACTTGTTTTATATATTTTATAAATTTTTTTTGTTTTTATATATTTTATAAATGTATTTATTTTTATTTTTGATATATTCTTTAGTTTTTATATCTTATATATTATATATATACATATTGTATGTATATGTATTTTTTTAATTTTTTTATTTGTTTGTAAATTAATCTTTTTTTTTTAATTTTGTTTCTGATTTGTCTCTGTTTTCTGACCTCAGCGCTGTTTTCTTAATTTTCATTTGAATGTTTATAAAAAATTATTTTATATTTTAATTTATTTCTATTGTTTTTTTATTTATATTTATTTTAATGTTTTTTTGTTTTTTTATATATTGTTTTCTATTTTCTTATCTTTTATTTATTTTAAAATTTTTTTTTGATATTTTGTATATTTTCTTATATTTGTTGTTTGCTTTTGCTTCTTATTCTAACTTTAAATTTGTTTACTTAATAATTTTTCGAGTGTTTCTATTATTTTATTTTTTATTATATTTGTTTTAATTCATTTTTATATTTGATTATATACAAACATTTTAAAATTTTTTTTTATAATTTTTATAAAATTGTTGATTAGTCTCATTTTTCTATTATATTAATTTATATTTTATTAAAAGTTTTATATAGTGTATATATATATATATTTTTTTTTGTGTATTCGTTTAAAATATTTTATTTACTTATTTTTTGTATATTCTGTTCTGTTTTTTTTTTGTTTGGGTTTTGTGTTTGCGGTTCTTTTTTAATTCTATTAGTATTATCATTATTATCTTAATTAAATTTTTATATATTTTTATTATTTTAAAATTTTTTTATATATATTTCTAAAAATATTTTTTATTTTTTGATACAAATAATATTTTATTTTTATTTTGTAATACAAATAATTTTTTTTTATATATATTATTTATTTGTTTTTTTATATTCTTATATATTTTTTTGAGTTTCTCTTTACTCTTACCTCTGCGCTATTTTCTTATTTCCCTTTTATGTTTTTCAATTTATTTATTTTTTATATTTTTTTTATATTAAAGATTTTTTTTTTTAATATTTTTTGAATATTTTAATTATATTTTTATACATATACTTTTATGTTATTATTTCTGTATATTCTTTTTTTCGTTTATTTGTTTTTATAAAATTTCCTTTATTTTTTTATATTTTAAAAAATTTTTTTTTCTTATTTCCCTTTTATGTTTTTCAATTTATTTATTTTTTATATTTTTTAGATATATTTTTTCAATATTTTAATAATTTTTTTTTTATACATATACTTCTATATTTTAATTAATTTTTTTATTTCTGTATATTCTTTTTTTCGTTTATTTGGTTTTATATATTTTTTATATCTTTTTTGTATTTTATTAATGTTTTTTTATATTTTTTAAATTTTTTTTTATAATTTTTTCTAAAATATTTTTCACATGTTTAAAATTTGTTTTTTCATTTATTTATTTTTTTATTTATTTATTTTATTTATTTATTTATTTTTTGTGTTTTTTTTTTGCCTCTCTCTTTGTTCTAACCTCAGCGCTGCTTTCTTAATCAGACGCCTGTTCAATTCTGTTCGTCGCGTTCTTAACTAACGCAAACATCTTTATCTCGAATGTCGACTTTCGCAGCTACTTTCAGATAATTGCTATTCCCGTTAGCGCGCTCATAGAAATTCTTCAGTTTTTTTTGTGTTTAATTTGGCTTTGTGTTTTTATTGCAATTTTTTGTGATATTAGAAAGCTTGTGTTTGTGTGTGTCAAATGTTTGTATGTGTGTGTGCACCTGTTAAGCCGATAACTTCGCACTTTTATAATATCGCATTGTTTTGCTTATTTTCTTTTCTTTACGATTTGCCACTATTATTACACTTAGTTTTGTTGGCTTT